AAAAWYMAAWYYWAAWYYTTTWAAWWAAAAAAAAATTTAATCAAATAAAATAATAATAATTTAAGATATTTTCTTTTATTTCAATGAGAATCCAAATGTGGTTCAAATGACAAAGAGATCTGTTACATTTTCTAAGATTGAAAGTTTGATATTTCATCTCAAATTTATTATTTAGTACTATAAATATGAGGTATGAAAATTTAAATYCGATAGGTATAAAAGTTAAACTCATTTTGGCTCAATCCCACATTTATTAAACTAAAAAAAAGAAATTTTTTTTTTTAAATACCAAACAGAACTACAATTCACATCCCATTTGGAATCTTCTTGACAATCCTCTTGCATATCTTGCTCTATCAGAGGTGAGCATTTCTTTTGCAAATTTGAAAAATAGCCATTAGATTAATCTGAAATGTGATCCACAACCATTTGATCTTCAACAGTTCATACATAAATATCTTTGCTTCTTATGTAAGAAACAGAGAATAATACTCGTCAACACTTGTCTTTAGCTTATTACTATTATATTTTACAAGTAGGAAAGTAAAATTTAGAAAAGTTTCAAAGTCAAATTTTTATTGGTGATCAGCATAGACGAATGTTGACCGATAAACGTGTAAGTACTTCAATGGGAATCGCTTTTTTTGAATTGCAAGAGATCAGCATGATACTTGGAAATCCAACCGTCAATTATGTCCATCTCAGTCTTCCTTTGTATTATCAACCAATCGGGATCGTCCACCTCAGCACTTAGTATGTCTAAGCAATGGCACCCTGCATTTCAAATACAATTCATTTGCATTTGCATTGTATCCCTTCTCTATATTAGATATTATGAAATATGAAATAAAGTAAATTATTTATAAGTTCTTATGAGTTATATAATATATCATATTCGTCTTAAAAAAAAAATGATACTAGAGTTTGATTTTCTTCGTTTTGTAATTTGACATTTCAAGAAGTATTTTTAAAGTTGCAGTCAAGACTAAAAATACTAATTTGAGGCAGTTACATAAATAATAAGATAAAAATAGTAGCAAAGTTAAAAGTTTACAGGAATAACATAATTTGATTTGTATTAAGAAAATTTAATGAAAAAAAATAAAGAGTTTGTCACATTTTCAAAAATAATTAAAAATATTGACATTTTTTAAACCATATAATTTTTTGCCCCGGAATGTAATTTCCTAAAAAATATATCCTTACTTTGATATTCACCCTGTTTTTAGACTGTTATTTTAACAATTGTTTTTTGTTTACTGCTATTTTTCTTCCTTGATAATCAACTTTTAAAAAAATTTGAACCTTAAGAAAAAAAAAAGACTAAAATTTAAATAACATATTTAAAAAGTAAGCAATTTTGTTATTATCTTTTTAAATATAAAAGYAAAATAAAATCATTTTCAAGAGAATTTTTAGGATGATGTAAAGATAGATTTAATTTCCAAAGTTCAATATTAAACTCTAATCCAAAAATTTAGTGGAAAATTATGAATAAAAATACCTTTAGCAGTAGTGACTGCAACAATGCTCTCTGATATATCATGCAATACCCTGAAATAGAAATCGTACGATTATAGATTTTTCAGTATTTATGAATAAAGAAACTAAAAAAAAAACCTTTTCCCACCTTTAAAAATTATATTACTAAATTTGTGTATTGTCAACTTTTCCTTTATTTTTTTTTATATTTGTGAACTTTTCCTTTCAATTATTTTTTTTATATTTAAAAATGTTTGCTTAAGGGGAGGAGAGAACCATCCTTTTACGTGTATTGTCAACTTCTGGTATTGTTGTTTTTTTATTTTTATTTTTTTCAATTTTTGATAAATAGCATTGGATGATTGTTGCTGTTAGAAAGGTTTTTAAAATTGCGTAAAAATTTTGGAAATAACAAAATTAGGTTATTTTATTTTATTTTATTACGTTCATGTTTCCAATTTTTTATTTAAAATATAAATAAAAACATTATTTTATCCTTCTTAACTTATAAAATATATAATAAAAATTAAAAAAAAAGGATAGTTACTAAACAGTCCAGAAAAACAGTCCAGAAAAACAAGAAACTTAGAGCTATTTTCTTTATTAAAGGGAAACAAGAAACAGGAACCAGGAACCAATAACGTGAGCTCAAACCAAATAAGAAATAAATTGTAGTTAAAATAGGAATTAAACCACAATTGAAAGAGAGATTGAGTTTCCATGAGAAATATTTTTGTTAAGAGAGTAAATGTTCTTCTTACCCGCCGCTGCTGTAAGGATCTTTCAGCCCATTGGAGAAGATTATGTTACTTGCAAACCTTTGGAGCACTAATTTCAGGTCCTGCAGAATTTACCACTTTCAATATTGACAACACAAAATTTTTTTCCCCGAAAGATATACAATTTGTTTTGTGTGAGTTAAGATTTGTTTGTGAGAGTTCATACTTCATAGAACAACAAACTTCAAAACTTGTGTAATTTGCCTTGAAAAATTTTCTCTAAAATCAGTGAGTAGGGAAGTTAGGAAGACTTACATGGCCACCATAGAAAGTTGTGATCCAATGAGGCTTTGGTGAGACACCATACCAAGCCTTGCAATCGTTTTTGAAGCTGTTTAAATCGAACGGCGCGGTCGGGAACATCGATTCGACCTTCCCACTGACACCAATGGGGATTACCATCTCGCTACAAATCTAAACTTCAAAAGAAATTATTAATTATTTAATATGACTGGCGCAATATATCCTAGTAGTTTAATACTCAGAATGATCATTCTATTCTATCACTTTTTGAACCACACATCAATCATCGGATTCACTACTTAACAAATCTCCCAAAACTCACGAAGAATTCATCACTAGTCTTGTTTTCTTTCAAATTTCATCAAATTTCAAATCATACGCGTATTCTATAATTCATTAAACGCACATAACAATTTATTAAGGCAGACTTGTTCATGTTTAAGGTAGAAATGGTAACACTTACCAAAATCGTCTCGTTGGTTGGGATGAAATTGAAACCAAAAGAAAAAGAAGATTAAAATTAGGATCGAAAGACAAAATACCTGAAAACTATACTGATCAGTGGGATCAACAGTATGCCAAGAATCGGAGACATCGTAACACGGCTTCTCCCCCATATAAGCAACAACCCCTGCAAAAACTTGTCCAATCAAATCGCTCGTTTTCTTCTTCGCTTCTCCATCAATGGCCGCGCATATGGCGTCCACTGGATTCTCCGATGGGAAATTGTACTGCGCCGCTCCCGAGAACATGTTATCCAGATAGTCCTTCAGATCCGAACTGCGATTCAATTTGGCGCAAGTTTTGAATCTCTTGCTCAGAATCGAAAGCCCCTGCGGCTTCTCGGCGATTCGGTCGATTTCCGCCCATGATCTGCGGATGATTTCGTAGCAGGTTTCGCTCGTTTCCTGATTTCATCATCGATTGATTGATAAATTAAATTGGAAGGAAAATGGAGGATTAGAGATTTAGGAGTTTAGAAATTACTCTGAAGGATTTGGAGACGACGGAGTAATATCCATCTTGAGGCGTAATGTTGTCGAAGTAGAGGACTGGTGCCGATGAAGCTAGGGCTCCGAGAGCGATGTGAGGATACTTCAGCCTGAACCACGAAGCAAGCACTGTGCATCCATGGCGGCAGGATTCAACCAAATTAGGTTAAATTATACGCCCCCAATTTTAAAAAGTTTGATTACATTATAAATTTGCAATTTAGTCCTTAGGATTTTAAGGGAGTTAATTTCTATTCGGCCTTCTTGGTTTGGTCAAAATGAAATTATGCCCCGACCGTGTGGATAAAATTGAAAAATTTAAAGCTATAGGTAACCAATTGAAATTGCAATGACCAAATTTCTATAATCTAATAAAAAAAAAATTTCAATAGATTTCTAACTTTGTAAAAATTTAATCCATATATTTTAAAAAGATTTTAACAGATCTTGATTTTTGTGTCAACAATTACTATGATTAATAAGCTCTAGTAATTTGAGGTTTATGCCACTAAAAGCTTGAATCTTCCTCCAATCAAACCCAACACGTAATCTTTAAATAATACACGTACATGATAATTTCTAAACAAAAAAAAAAAAAGAAAGAAAAAGAACACTAACACGGTGAGAGTTAGGCTAACAAAGTTAATATTAGAGACTTATTAGATACCAAATTGAAATTTCAAGGATTTGCTAAAAACGTTTTCAAGATAGGCCTAACTATAAGATGTCCTATAAATGATTAAATTTATCACTTTGTTCTCCGTCGTTATGCCCATTCCAAGATGAGTTGGAAGAGGAATTCTTAATTCTTACATGAATGAGCCCTACCCTTGTAAACTCACACCTAATCAGGAAAAAATAAATAATTATAGGAGTGAGTATTACACCAAGAATTCATTGACAAGCGGATGACTTTTCTAGTTGGCTTTATTGATATAGCTTAGATTGAGAAAATACTGCCCTGACAGACTAGCTTAAGTTTTAGGGTTAATTGGTTATTTCATTATGTTTAAGACTAACTTCAATTGACTTATTTGAGACTTATGGGAGTATGATGAAATAAACATGACTTTAAAAATTTATGGATGAGATATGTAATTTAATCGAAAAATAGTTTTATGGAAATTTTGGGCAATTATGTTTGAATTACTTCCACCGTAGGAGCCTCCAATGACAATGATTGGTGAAGTCTCAGCTGCGAACATTTTCTTGACGTGCAAAATCACTTGGGCGTAATCCGCTAAGGCTTGAGCTGAACTTAAATGCCCTCGAATGGTGGTATTTTTCATAGCCTTCTCTAAAGAACCAAATGGTATTGACTGCCCATAAAATCTATGCTGTAAATAACAAAACATATGTAAATGTATATGGTAGTAAACAATCTAGAAATAAAAAGAAAGATATAGGTATTACGAACTCATGTTAGATTATTACCAGACTAAAAAAATAAGCTGGTATTAGTAATATGTACCTCTAAATACACAACCATAGCCTTGTACCGAGAGGCGAAAGGGAGGGTAAAAGATAAGTCATTATCGAGACTTCCTTCGGCACCCAAGTAGGCGAAGATGGGAATGTTGGGATTGACACCTTCCCAATACTTGAAATTGATGATATATCTTTGATCAAACGTGATATAACTTTGAGGTTGGTAATTGAAGTGATCAAGTGATTGTTTGTAGTAGAAAGTGACTAATTCATCATATATATCAAGTTCTTGAGGCTTGTTTTGGAATGACCTCCTTAGAAGGCTTGTTTTGGAATGACCTCCTTAGCCTTCTAAGGCGTGGGATGTGGGCAGAAACATGGAGAGAAAGGAGGAGAAAAAGTGGAAGAAATATGAATTGTTTAACAATGTTGTTCATGTTGTTGTTACCCACATTTATCAAATTCAATTGTGGATATGTATTTATAGGCTCACAAAAGTTTAGGCACACAAAAAACCATATTTTCCCACTCTTTTTTATTACCAAAAATTAGTCTCACTCCACCCATCTTTCCTATCACTTATCATTGAAAAAGTTGAAACTCTCCCCTCCTCCTTGAGAGAGGAGTATGTAAATCTCAAAAGTTCCTTTTACAATTCTGACTCTCTATCTTTAATGTGAATAAAACTTTCTCATTCATTGAGTTATTCCATTAAATCTAATCACTTTCTCTCTCGTCTCTTCTCCATCGAAGATACACACAACGAAGAACGAGGAGAGAGGAGGGGTGGTGATATTGGAGCGATAAATAATATCGCTACAATGCTACTATCTCCTAATAATCGTTTACATTCGAAAATCTGCATGCTCCTAATAACTATCGGCTATAGATTTGAAATACTTAAATAGTTTCTTTCTCATATATCTAACCTAGTAAAACCTGTCCTATTGTGGTAGCCTTCTCCAATAATATCTCATAGATAGTTAGGAGGGAGAGATTATATTTTAATAGTGTTTTTTCATCACCCTAAAATATATTAAGAAACAAAAGTAATCAATTTTTACCTTTAAACTTTTGCGATGTGTATTAATTTTTACGCTCACATTAGACCCTAGGCCGAAGTAAGCATTGAAATTTTTACCTTTTGTTTAATTTTCGTTAGTTCACCCCTAATATCAACAAAAAGTAATGTAAAAAAATCTCTAAAAACTCACTAATTCCAATAAAGATCAAACTTAGTACAAAATTAAATTTTATCAGCACATAAAATCAACTATTTATTAGCTTTTCCATAACTCAAAAATTAAAAAAATAAAATTGAAAAACAACTCTTACAACGTTTTTCTCTAGAATCTTATTCAGTTAATTTGGAACATATGTTTTATAATTTTCTTGAATACATGAGAGAATATATATATATTTTTTAACAATTCTTCAAACGAAAACCTGCAAAAACACTTAACAAATTTAAGGTAAAGATTATATCACGTTTTCAATTTTAAGGTAAAAATTGCAACATTTATTTAAGTTTTAGGTGCAATTTAATAGAATTGAAAGTTTATTACAATAAAAATTGGTATACCTTATTAAGTTTAGAGTGAAATATGAAAATCTTTTTCCTTTTCAAAACATTAAAAAAGTATGATTGTTACCACATCAACCTTAAAACCAATTTAAAAAAATGCCACATCATCATCTTATTATTATTATTATTAAAGTGCCAATGAAAAGTGAAAAAGCAAAGAGAATATTGAAGCATTTTAAAAACTCAAAGGATTCAATTGTACAATTTTAGGGGTTGAAAACTTTAGTATTTAGTAAGCTAAAAAGGAAYTTTTGGCTTACGGAGATTTTACAATCTATCTAATGGGCACTAATAGGTAGTGGTCAACCAATTAATAGAACCTTCAACCTTAAAAATGATTAATAAAAGACAAGACATCCACCATAGCCAATAGGACAACCATAGTTGGATCATAAGTTTCCACATTTCTTCACTATAGTCTCAATTTCAAAGGTATATGATTTATCCCTTCACATCAATGTCACGTTTTATAAATTCTTTCATTATTCTTTGATTCGGGTTGAATTCTGTGTATAAATCATCTTTTATCTTTCTTAAAATTGAAGATTTGGACCGTGCATCCTATATTTATTGAGTTTTTCTTAGTTATTTTAGAGTGTATTTTTTAAAAGAATCTTGTGATCTCATCAACTATCTCATTGAGTTTATTTTGATTTTTGAATTTGTGTATTCTCTAGTTTAATATTTAATTAAAAAACCATTTTAATCAGACAAAAAAAAACACACACACAATAAATAAATAAATAAATATATATATATATATACACGCATAGAACCTATTATTGCTATGGGGCTCTCCAATACATTACATATGTGAAGCTACATTTTTTCCGACAATTAAAACTACATTATTCATCATTTAAATAAATGAAAAATTTTCAACAGAAGTCATTTTAGAATCAATGTTGAAAGGATTGTATTAATAATATTATTTTTTAATTCCTCCACATCTGATATTTTTTTTAATTGGCTTTATTTGTCTTTACTATTTTTTACTATACCCTTTTTATTTATGGCTTTTTCATAAAGGTCTTTTCTCTCTGTTTGGAAATTTTGTGGTATATTTGGTTATGGGTAATTTGAGGTAGTTTATTTTTGTTTCCTCATCTCCGAGGCTTTGATTTGGATATCTTTAATTAATGGAATATTTTCTATAATACGGGCCAGCCTTTTTTTTTCTTTAAATATTGAAAAGTAGTTAAGATAAATTTATTGATTTAACAGTATTTTTCTTACTTACTAATTGATCTAATTTTTTCTTATTTACTGTTTCATCATTTGTTGGTGAAAACAAAAAAAGATTATATGTTCTCTTTTGGATTTGCTTTATGCTAAATATATATCGAGAACGTACTTCGATTGAAGATGATGAGTTTTATTAACGATTGCTAAACACACTGAATCTGATATAAGGARAGTTTGTGAACATAGATCGTCAAATGGATTGGAACAATTAGGAATTGCAGCACAAAATTCAAGAAGGAAGTTCTTTCAAATTTATGCATGAGAAAATATGTACCGGTACTAATCCTTTGATAATGTATTATAAATCTCTGGGTATAACCTTGTAAAAGTATGTTGGAAACTGAATTGTGGCGGGTTCATATATCTTCCTAACTTTGCATATCTTTTAACATTCTCATAACTTTTAATTTTTAATTTGCTCACAAAATTACAATAGAAAATTAAATTTATAATCATTGCTATTATTCCAACAAACCATTAAATAATTGGGATAATTACGTCCTTTCAAATATTCTTTTAGATTTCTGCCAATAAAATACCACTTTTTGTCCTCGTTTATTATGTTAATTGATTTGTTTTTCTAATAAATTAATCGTCATTTAAAGTATATATTTACATTTATTAATAAATGATTATATTTTAATAATTGATTTAAGGAATAAAGAAAGTTTTCAAATTAATTATACTTGTCTTATTTTGGTTCAGTTTCCAGCTTTTTTTTTTCTTTTTTATCCCAAAGCGGTGTTTTATTTTCTCAAGCTTCGATCAACAGCTCTATTATTTTTCTGATGACGGGTACTTATTTTATTGGAGAAATCGGATAAATGGGCTGCCTATACAAAGATTATTGTTATTTTAGCTACTTTTTTCAAAACCTATATTCTCTGAGGATTTGTTGACATCACTTAGATATCAAATGACTTTCCCTCTACTAATATTTTCTGAGTTTTTGCTAACATTACCCAGTTACCAATCCATTTTTAGAGCGAGAGGAGGAGATCGAGAGCGAGAGCGAGAGAAATAAAAGAGAGACAAGAGAGAGGAGAGAGATAGGAGAGAGAGAGCGAGAAAGAGTGATAGCAGGAAAAAGATAAGAGAGACAAGAAAGAATAGAGAAATAGGGAAAGTCATTTGGTACACAGATAAAAGGGAGAAGAGAGAATAGAGAAATAGGGAAAGTCATTTGGTACAGGTTGATGTAAAAAATATAGATTTTGAAAATGGATGATTAGAAAACAATACTCTTTTGGAAAGATGTCTGCATATTGCAATTTCCCCTATTTTATTTGCATGGTTATCATTTACCATTTTCTCAATTGTTCATCGTTTTTTCTCCTAACTAATTTGCATTTTATTATTTCTTAATGTTTTCATCTGCGACAAATGATTTTTTTTTTTAATCTTTTCTTCTGACCATACATAAAATATTTTTTTTGTGACAACAGTACATAGTATTTAGCTCGAAATTACGGAAATATGTCTCTTCCCAAACTATTTCAAAAAATAATGTTTTGGAAATAGTAGGTCGTCTCTCAAACATTGATCGTCTCCTAACGTGGCGCTTACATTTTATAAAAAAATAAGATTTGGTCGTCTCTTCAAGATCAGACGACATGTTTGGCGGGATTTTTGATTGTCTCTTCCGGAGACGATAATATTATTCTAGGCAAAAACAAAAGAACTATTATGTATATATAACACAACACTTAAATATATAATGAATATTGTGGTGCAACGAATAAGGGACCATTTGAGACGTCCAAGGGCTTGGGTTCGCATGTTTGTTTTTTTTCGTTTTGGTAATATTATTATTATTAAATGATTAAAATAATAATATTATTATTATTATAAAGGATTAACGTAAAAAAATATTATTATTATTAATTCTTATTATTTTTTTATTTTCTGAGTTCTTATTAATCCTTTATAATAATAATATTATTATTATTTTTATTATTATTGTTGTTGTTTTAATGATCATTTAATAATAATAATATTACCAAACCGAAAAAAAAAACCAATATCACCACTTCCCAGGTGGTCCTTTATCCACTACACCACAATATTCATTTTGTTCTAAAATGTTGTGTTATATATATAATAATTGTTTTGTTTTTGCTTAGAATAATATTGTCGTCTCTTCCGATCAAGCAAGATTTTTGAAATCCCGCCAAACATGTTGTCTCTTGAAGAGATGACCAAGCCTTTTTCTTTTTTAAATTAACGTGGCGCTTACAAAGCGCCATTTTAGTTGGTCGACGACCAGTATTTGCCACTTCAATAGACGACATGCTATTTCCAAAACATTATTTTTGGAAATAGTTTGGGAAGTGGCATATTTTCGTAACTACTTTCGAAAATAGTATTCTTAAGAATAAAAATCCAGTATTTAGTATTTTAAAATAAATTATATGCCGCGTATACTTGATATAAGTAATTTCGTATCAATTAGTTTATTAATGGAAGACTTATGAATAAAACGTTGACTTGAGTAATTGGTTTGGTAATGGGTTAGTCAACATTATTGGAATGGACAAAGATAAAACGTGGATCATGCCCCTATCCAACATTATAATGCCTCCTTGAAAAGACCACAATTTTCATTTTTATCTATTAAATCAAGTGTTTGTTTGAAATTTAAACAAAAAAAAAAGTACTTAAAAATATTAAAAAAGTTTGAACTAGTATTTAAATTTTCAGAGTTGTAACCAATATTTGAATTTAGAAATCTGATCTAGGAAGATGGATGAATCTTTTGCCGTATTGGAGTAGTTGCATACAATTGGTTATCTTTAAGAGAACATTGATTAACGAATTAACAAAAAAAGAGAGGAGAAATTGAAACTGAATTTTATTTCCTTCTCAACCCTTGATTGAGTAAGAAGAGAGGTGGGTAGGGTAAAAATAATAATCTGTCGGTCGGGTCAAAACCAACCCGTCACGACCTGAAACTCTTTGGTTCGATTTGATTTTTGGTTCAGATCGATTCTTTACATCCCCAGCATTAGAATTCCTCGAGCATATCCCAAAAGGGCGAGGTAGAGTGGCCGCAATTAAAAAGCGTGTATGGCAAGCTTTTCGGAGGGATGGGAAAATAGATCATTATTCGATTCCCCATTGATTTATTGTGAGTTTAGGACGAGTTTACCTCTTAAGAATTGGTTGTTTACCTTTTTAAACATTTAAGAGTGTGTCTAATAGATTCTTAAACTTTAATAGGTCTCTAAATTAAATTTTGTATTGACTCAAATACAAGATTGGACGATTTTTATTAAGATTCCTTACACTATATTTTTCAAATCTCTAATGCATGTCATACATCATTGAGCATGAATATTTATGCAAAAGGACCTTCATTTTATCTTCCATAGATGTGGTTGAACGGTTTCACATTAATAATTTTTCATTGTAACGAGGTAAACAATGAAAAGTGCCAAATTTTATTAATGTCAATTATATTCACTAATATGTGGCATTATAGGCCATACATTCTCTAAAATCACCACAATTATATTGTCCAAGTTGGCTCATAAAATAAAACAATACAATGTAACTAGCCACAAGTAATTAAAATCAAAATAAAATCTGGTTCGCTGCTCTTCGGATCTAGTTTGCCACCGCTCTTCAAATCTAGATCATCGCAGCCAAAATCGTGAGGAGGCAATCTAGATCTGAAGAGCGGCGGTGAACTGGATCTGAAGAGCAGCGACATTCACGATCTAAAGAACGRCGATGACTGGATCTGAAGAGCAGGGACAATTTGGATCAGAAGAGCAGCGCGGTGTAAGCCCAGGTATGAATTTTCTTGAATTCTTTACCGTTTATTTCTAGGTTGTCTCTATCTTGAGCATTTAAGAAATAAGATTGCTTAATTTCTTGAATGAATTGTTTCGATTTCAACTTAATCTTCTTTTAATTTTACACGTGCTTAATAAGAGAGTCAAATGAAAGAATGTTCATGATTTTGCTAGGTCCGAGTTCAATCGGGATCTCATCGTGTGAGATGAATCTACAATAGTCGCGTTGTACAGTAATCTTGATCTCCTCCCTAAACAGTATATGACCTGTGGCCTCCGATTCAACTCCCGAGAAAAGCTCCATGATCATATGTACTGGCATGGTTACCAAGCATGTTTCTGTTTATTTTTTCAATTAAAAAAATTTAAAAACAAAAAACAGTTACCAAACGCAACTCTATTTTTCTTAACGTTGCTGCTCTTCAGATCCAGATCCTCGCTGCTCTTCATTTCCATATCGTCACTTTTCAGATCCAAAATGTCGCCGCTCTTCAGATCTAGTTCGTTGCGACTCTTCAAATCCAGATCGCCACTGCCTACCATTGAATACACTGTTGAAGAGGCAGCAATCTGGATTTGAAGAGCGGTGGTGAACTAGATCTGAAGAACGACAATCTGGATCTGAAGAGCAGCGACATTCTAGATCTGAAGAGCATGAAGAGCAGGGATGATCTGGATCTGAAGAGCAGCGTGGTGGAAGTCCAGGTATGTATTTTCTTGAATTCTTTACCGTTTATTTCTAAGTTGTCTCTATCTTGAACATTTAAGAAATAGGATTGCTTAAATTTCTTGAATGAATTGTTTCGATTTCAACTTAATCTTCTTTTTATTTTAACACACGTGCTTACTAAAAGAGTCAAATGAATGAATGTTCAGGATTTTGCTAGGTCTAAGTTCAATCGGGATCTCACCATGTGAGATGAATCTACGATAGTCGCGTTGTATGGTAATCCTCCCCAACCAATGTATGACCTGGGGCCTCCGATTCCGCTCCCAGGAAAAGCTCCATGATCATATGGACTGGCATGGTAGGGAGCAAAAGATTTCTCGTGGCTGGTTCATGAATAAAGCTTCATGGGTTGCTTATGGGCGTAAGGATGCACCTGAACTTGAAGGTGGTCCATCCCAACCATCTGGTAAATGAAACCTATCTCAAGTTGGGTAAACAAAAAATGGTTACCAAGCATATTTTTGTTTACTTTTTCAATTAAAAACAAAAAACAAAAAACAATTACCAAATGCAACTCTATTTTTCTTAACGTCGCTGCTCTTCAAATCAAGAATGTTGCTGCTCTTTAGATCCAGATCGTCGCTCTTCATATCCAAAATGTCGCCGCTCTTCATATCCAATTCGCCGCCGCTCTTCAGATTCAAATCGCCGCCACCTACCATTGAATATGCTGTTGAGGAGGCGACGGTCTGAATTTGTAGAGCGGTGGTGAACTAGATCTGAAGAGCGGCAACATTCTGGATCTGAAGAACGATGATCTGGATTTGAAGAGTAGCAACGATCTGGATCTAAAGAGCAGCAACATTTTAGATTTGAAGAGCAAAGACGTTCTGGATCTGAAGAGCAGCAAAGATTTGGATTAGAAGTGCAGGGATGATCTGGATCTAAAGAGCATTGTGGTGGAAGCCCAGGTATGAATTTTCTTGAATTCTTTACCGTTTATTTCTAAATTGTCTCTATCTTGAACATTTAAGAAATAAGATTGCTTAATTTCTTGAATGAATTGTTTCCATTTCAACTTAATGTTCTTTTTATTTTAACACATGTGCTTACTACGAGAGTCAAATGAATGAATGTTCAGGATTTTACTAGGTCTGAGTTTGATTGGGATCTCACCATGTGAGATGAATCTGTGATAGTCGTGCTGTACGGTGATCTTGATCTCCTCCCCAACCCGTGTATAACATGTGGCCTTCGATTCAGCTCTCGGGAAAAGCTCCATGATCATATGGACTGGCATGTTAGGGAGCAAAAGACTTCTCGCGGTTGGTTCATGAATAAACCCTCATGGATTGCCTATGGCCGTAAGAATGCACCTGAACCTGAAGGCGGTCCATCCCAATCATCTGATAAATGAAACCTATTATCTCAAGTTGGGTAAACAAAAAATGGTTACCAAGTATGTTTCTGTTTATTTTTTTTCAATTAAAAAAAATTAAAAGCAAAAAACAGTTACCAAACGCAACTCTAGTTTTTTTAATGTTGCTGCTCTTCAAATCTAGATCGTCACCGCTCTTCAGATCCAAATTGTCGCCGCCTCAACTGCGACTTCAATGGTAGGCTTGAAGAGCAGCGACATTCTGGATCTGAAAAGCGACGACGATTTGGATCTGAAGAGTTACCAAACACAACTCTATTTTTCGTAATTGAAAAAGAGAGAACAAGAAATAATAAACAAGGGGAACGTTTTCCCGTTTCTTGTTTCTTTTTCTTCATTTTTAATAAAGAAAAATAGAATTGCATGATAAACAATATTATTATTTATGTTTTGTAACAAATAGAAACGAAACCAAAAACAAAAACTTGTTTTGATTTGTTTCAAAAACTTCTATACAAATTTGAGAATGTTTCTAAAAAACGAGAAACAAAAAATATAATTAATTGTAAAATGCTTAAGTTTTCTTAATAAAATTTGAAAACAAGAAACAAGAAACGAGAACGTTACCAAACAGGTCCAAGAAAATAGAAAAAACGTTACCAAAGAACTTGCAACTAAAAAAGGAATCAAATGGATTCAGTGAATACTCGTTTGCTAGGATTTGGAGGATTTGTTTTTGAAAACTGTTTTCGGATTATGTGATCCAAATAGTAGAAATTCTGAAAACGATTTTTAAAAGACCTGTTTGGTTAGAAACTCGGATTCTGTTTTTTGTTTTCAGATTCGCTGAATCAAATGAATTCAGCGAATACGGCAGGATTTTGGAGATTTGTTTTTTAAAACTGTTTTCGGATTCTGTGATCCAAATAGTAGAAATTATATAAACAACTTTTCTATGTTTTCAGTATTTTCAGATTCAAAATTTGAAATTTTTAAGATGCAGAATTACATTAAAAAGTATAAAAACTTTGATAAATATATTACTTCATATTATAAACTCATTTTATGTTTGTTAAAATTAAAACATATAAAAGATATAAAATATGATGTATTCTAAATTATATAACGTTGTAAAATAATAATTATACAAAATTCATAAAAAATGTTAATAAATTAATTAATATAACTTTAAATTAAACTAAATATTTAGTTTAAAACTACTTCTACCTTAGAAATATATTACTAAACAAACATTGAACAATTTTTTAAATTGAGATTTAATTACCAAATCTGCTACCAAACACATATCTGAAAACACTGAAAACAAATAATACAACTTCGTTTTCATTGAATTTCTGTTTTTTGATTACCAACCAAACACACCCTAAGGGCATGTTTGGTTGGAGACTCGGATTCTTTTTTTTTTTTTCCAGATTCACTGAACAAATGGATTAAGTGAATATGCGTTTGACAGGATTTTGGAGATTCGTTTTTTAAAATTGTTTTCGGATTGTGTGATCCAAATAGTAGAAATTCTGAAAACGATTCTTTTATGTTTTCACTGTTTTTAAATTCGGAATTTGAAAATTTTAAGATGCAAAATTACATTAAAAATGATAAAAACTTTGATAAATATATTATTCATGTTATAAACTAATTTTTTGTTTGTTAAAATTAAAATATGTAAAATATAATGTATTCTAAATTATACAACCTTGTAAAATAATAATTATATAAAATTCATTAAAAAATATTAATTAATTAATTAATTAATATAAATTTAGATTAAACTAAAATTTAGTTGGTAACTATTTATGGTTTCCAAATATAGTTAAAAATTCAATTACCAAATCTGCTACCAAACATATATCTGAAAACAATGAAAATAAAAATACAGCACTAGTTTTCATTCAATCCCTTGTTTTCAAATTTCTATTTTATGATCACCATCCAAACGCACCCTAAATGTCTTTCTTACCTGCCACTGCTTTAAGGATCTTTCAGCCCATTGGAGAAGATAATGTTACTTGCAAACCTTTGGAGCACTCATTTCAGGTCCGTAAAATTTACCACTTTTAATATTGACAATAGGGATGGCAAAAATACTGTTGGGACCGAATCCCCTTGGTACCCGACCTGATCGAGTCGGGGATTCCCCTGTTTGACCGGGGACGAGGTCAAACTGGGGATCCCAATCGGGTTTCCCGGTGGGGATGGGGTGGGGACGGGGATCGGTTCCCTCGCCCCGTCCTCGTCCCCGACCCTACCCTGTTTAATATTTTATTACTTTTTCTATTTTTTTATATAATAATATTAATATATATTAATTTTATAAATACTTTTTAATTTAAAAAAAAAAATTCAATCTAATACTCTCATTTAGCCACTTTGTGTTTACTTTTTATACTAATAATAACAAAAATTAATTAAAAAATTAAAAAAATATATTTATAATGGGTCGTCACCGATTGGGGAATCCCCGCCCCGTCCCCAAAATTTCGGGGACGAGGGCGAGGATGGGAAAAAAATCCCCAACGGAGTGGGGATGGGGATGACCCTACCCCGCGCCACTCCGTTGTCATCCCTAATTGACAACACAAAATATTTTTTCCCAAAACATATACAATTTTTTGTGTGTAGGTGGGTCAAGATTGGATCCAACTTTTATTAATATTCCTAACACTATTTTTTTCAAATCTCTATTTCATGCATACATAATTAAGGATTTCTAGAATAAAAATCGTAAAATTTCAGAACAATCAATACCAAGCGTCTAAGTATGGAAGAAGACCAAAATCTATAAACAGATTAAAATGACCTAGAACCACTAGATAGATTGACCATGAACTACCATGAACTGTAAGAAGTTATGGTTTGTAGTTTCCTCAACTATATACAACCCAAATTGAATATGGGTAATACTCTCTATTTGATGGGGAATGATAATGGATTGGGGACCATAACCATATATATATAAGTTAATTCTAGGATTTCTCATAATTCCCTAAGATTAATGGGCTGATTTCTACTCAGCAAGCCACACCAGTTAGTCATAGACCCATTTAAATAGCATAAATATAATTGCTCTTTAATTTTGTTACTCACATATGAATTAATTATTAAATTAATTCCAACAGTTTCTCATTGTCATCTAGCTTGTTATGAGGTAAACAATGATTTGTTTCCACAAATGTACTAAATATGTCAATTATAACCCGTAACTTGTGGCATTAGAGGCCATACATACCTTCAAAATCACCCCAATTATATTGAAGTTTATTTCATTACATACTCTTCATTTTCAACCATATCATTATCTATTACTTTTATTTCATCTTTTGATTTGTTTATACCTATCATTTTCTTCTATTATTTTATTATTTTTATTACTTTTACTCCCAATAACAAATTTATCGAGAGCACCCTTTTGAGATTCAATATGTTTTTTCTATTATTATATTCTTATTAAGCTTTTCATATCTAGATTCATATTTTCTTATAGACATATTGATTTTGTAAGTAATTAAGCAAATCTAAAAAAATCTCATATATCAAGGTATTGAACAACCAACAATATGAAATAATGTTATTAGAAAAGTAAACGAATTTGAACAAAAAAAACTCAAACTTTGAAGCCGCTAGATTGATTTGAGCAAATAAGAAGTTTTGATTTATACTCCAATTGATAATCACATCGAGAGGAGTTGTGAGACCATACAGAATATCAAAGATGAAAATTTAAAACTTGAGAGAGAGCAAGAAAGAGAAGGATAAAGTTAAACTTAAAATAAATCTAACTTACGTATAAAGTTTTTTTTGTTTAAGAAAAGTTGAAAAGTTTTAGTTATAATAATAAATAAATATAAAGATAAGGAATAGGGAAGCTCTCAAACAAAAGAAATTGTGAAGAAAATGATAAAAGTTGAAGAAATTTGAAATAATAGCAAATAAAAATTAAGAGAAATTTATGTCCTATAGTTTAAATCTGTCCTTTCAATAGTCATTACATAATATCGTTATACTAAAAGAAAAAAAAAAGGTTAATACATAAATATTCTTACTTCTTATTTAGTAAGAGACATTTATAAAACATTTAATTAATTGGTACCAACACTTTTTTTGAACAGCAAGAGATCAGCATGATACTTGGAAATCCAACCGTCAATTATGTCCATCTCAGTCTTTCTTTGCATTTTCAACCAATCAGGATCGTCCACCTCAGCATTTTGTATGTCCACGCAATGGGCCCCTGCATTTCAAATATACACTTCATTTTCATTTGCCTTGTATCCCTTCTCATATAATCTATATTAGATATATCGTGAAATGTGAAATAGAATACTTCTTTTTGCAAAGGAAAATAAAATAATTTATTTACAAGTTTTTCTTTTCTTTTGTTTGTTTGTTCTTTTTTTTTGAAAATAATTATTTACAAGTTCTTATAAGTTATAACATATCATACTCGAGTTTGTAATTACATAAATAATAAGATAAAACAGTAGCAAGTTTAAAATTTTATATAAATAGCATAATTTGATTCGATTTATAGAAGGAAAAAAATATGTGTTTGTTATGGGTAGCTAATGACCACAATTCAAACTCTGCTTCTTGTTTTTAAACACAATAAATCAAATGAATTAAAATATGTAAAATATAATATATTATAAATTATATAACATTATAAAATAACAATTATACAAATTTTATAACAAAAATGTTAATAAATTATTTAATATCATTTTAGATTAAATTAAATATTTAGTTAGTAACTACTACTAGTTTACAAATATATTGCTAAACATTGCTGAATAATTTTTTTAAATAGAGATTCAATTTTCAAATTTCTACCAAACAAATATTTGAAAGCACCAAAAACAAAGGAGACATTTATATTTTTCACTGATTCATGTTTTCAATTTTATGTTTTCTAATCACTAATCAAATGTAAGCTATTTTTTTTTTTATCATACTTACAAATATGGTAACTCATTTTGAATTTTGAATTCTTATTTTCAATTTTTGCTTATTTCAGTTTTACCCTCAGGTTTATATTAGTGACATTAAAGTATATCAGTTATTGATGTACGCCAGGTATACCAACTGGTATACCTTGATATACTTTATATTAGATATATCAAATATATCACTGATATACCTTATTTGAAATACTTTATATTAGAATAAAGTATATCACTAATATACCTTATTCGAACTATATTAGTGATATATTTTATATTAGGTATTTCAGTTATAACTTATATATCTTAATGTACTACATACTAAGTATATTAGTTTTAATTTGTAAACTTAATATGCAGTGCATCAAGATATATAAGTTATAACTAATATACTTAGGTGTGTTTGAGAGTGATGGTAAAATTATTGATTTTGAAAAAAGAGATTTAAGTTATAACTGATTTTCCAAAATCATCATCAAGGTATATCAGTTATAACTAATATATTTAGGTGTGTTTGATTATGGCAAAAGTAATTTTGGCACTTCCAAACACACCTTTAATCATGCAGTACATCAAGTTAGAAAAGTATATCAGATATAGATGGTAAATTATTATAACTAATAAACTTCAAATTTTGTACATCAAAATATATCCATTATAACTAATATACAAAATATATCACTTATATAAGATCCTATAAGGTATATGAATGATAAATTCTGTATATTGATATACCTTGTTTGGGTACAAAAACTTGATAGTCTTAAATCTATTTTGTTGGGCATTCTATTAGAAACAAATGTTTTTCTTTATCCTTCTAAACCTTTAGATATATGAATGGTATATCAAATTAGGTATATCGTTATAATTGGTTTACCTCATATGAAATATTTTAGATATAAGTGATTTACCTTGATGTACTAGATACTAGATATATCGATTATATAATTTATTTTATAAGACAAAATTCTTTTAGGCAAAACCCTTGATATATTTTCTTGAATGTTAAAGGTCCGTGTATCACAAGTCTTTATTAGATAATCTCTGATTAAGTATACCAAAAACTTTGAAGGACGTCTCTTAATTCTAAATGACAAGAAATGTCAAAAAGGTATTGAACAATTCCATCTGGCTCGGAAAAAGAGTTTTTAGATGTTTAAAATTTCTAATTTAGAGTAAAACTAGACCTTAACCTCCAAATAAAATTTTCGCGTAGAAGTAAAACATAATATAAAGTATAACATTGGTAAGTCAGCATTTCATATTAGATATATCAATGTATATCAACATTGAAATCTTCAATCAGTTATATTAATGATATATAAAATTAGGTATATCAATGGTGTCATCACACATATATAAGTAATTAGATAAGTACATCATAGTATTGGTATATCAACACACATATATATCAATAATTAAATAAGAAAAAAATTATCATATTTATAAATATCTGGGTTTTATTATTTAATACAATTTTCGATTTTTAGTTCTTTTGATTTTATCCTTCAAGATTTTCAGATATATCAATGCTATATTAAATCAAATACATCAGATACATCATTGATATATTGCCATTCATATAAGTATATATCTTGATATATCGCCATTCGTATAAGTATATATCTTTATAACTAATTTATCCTCATGTACTACTCCTTAGTCCTTACTAGGTAAATCTTTTTAAAAATATATATACTTTTTTTTTAGCCACCCAATGTAATTTCCTCCAAAATTTATCCTTTGTTTGATGTTCACTTGTTCCTGGACTGTTCTTTTTAACAATTATATTATACATTCGACTTTTAGGAAATTAAAATCGTATACAAATTTCAAAAGCTGATAAATTTAGCTCTAATAAACTCTCTTATTTTTAAAAAAAATTAACTAAAATTTATATAACATATTTAAAAAGTAAGCCATTTATATTATATTTTAAAATATAAAAGTAAAATAAAATTGTATTCAAGAGAATGTTTAAGATGATGTAAAGTTAGATTTTCAAAATCAATATTAAAACTTTAATCCAAAAATTTAGCAGTAAAATACCTTTAGCAGTGGTGATAGCAACAATGGTCTGTGATATATTATGCAACACCCTGAGATTAAGTCAAGATAATTCAGTATTTATATGAATAAAGAAACAATAAGGAAAAATAAAGCCTTCTCCCATCTTTAAAAACTATATTACAGATTTAAATTTATGTTAAATAATTAATGAAAAGAGTAGCAGGAAAGACCCACAACTTTTTTATGCAAAATTGAAGGCTTATTTGATACCGTTTTCGTTATGTTGGGAAATTTAGGAACGACAAAATCAAATTTCATGTTTCTATTTTTTTTCAAGACATAGATAAAAGCATTATTTTATCATTTTTAACTTATAAAATGCATAATAAATATTTAAAAATAAATATAACATAAAATCTTTTCATATTTAATTTGGAAATTAATTCTCATTTAAAACTATTTTTTAAAATTTAGTTTTAAATTTAAAATTTTAAAGAAAAAAAAAACAAGAAATGGCTACCAAATACAATTAAAAACGAGAATCAGTTACTAAATGCAACTCTATTTTTCTTAATTGAAAAAGAGAAAACAAGAAATAAAAAACAAAACAAGGGAACATTTTCCATTTTCCTGTTTTTTGTTTCTATTTCTTTCATTTTTAATAAAGAAAAGTAGAATTGCAACACCCCAGCGCCCATGAATTCAATAATGGTCAAATAATATTTATATTTATATTTTTGTAATAAATTGGAAACGAAAAGAAGAAACAATAAACTTGTTTTGATTGCTCCCAAAATTTCTATACAATTTTGAAAATATTTCCAAAAACGAAAAACAAGAAACATAATTAATCGTAAAATGCTTAAGTTTTTTAATAAAATTTGAAAACGATAAACGAAAAAAGGGAACATTACCAAACGGACCCAGACATTACAAAAGAAATTGCAACTAAAAAAGGAATTAAACCAAAATGATTTCCCATGAGAAATATTTTTGTTATTAGAGTAAATGTCCTTCTTACCCGCCACTGCTGTAAGGATCTTTCAGCCCATTGGAGAAGATAATGTTACTTGCAAACCTGTGGAGCACTAATTTCAGGTCCTGCAAAATTTACCATATATTTTCAATATTGAGGACACAATTTAAATATCTTTTTTTCCAAAAAAAAAAAACATATATTTTTTGTGTGAGCTCTAAGATTTGTTTGTGAGAGTTCATAGAACAACAAACTTGGGTAATTTGCCTTAAAATCTTTTCTCTAAAATCAGGGAGTAGGGAAGTTAAGAAGAGTTACATGGCCTCCATAGAAAGTTGTGATCCAATGAGGCTTTGGTGAGACACCATACCAAGCCTTGCAGTCGTTTTTGAAGCTGTTTAAATCGAACTGCGCGGTCGGGAACATCGAGTCGCCCTTGCCGCTGCGTCCAATGGGCATTACCATCTCGCTACACACCTAAACTTCACAAGAAGCTATTCAATATGGTCAAGGGAGTGATAACTATATATAACCACACTGTGGCAGTTACGTTCGATAATTTTTTAAATCACTCTTCAATCATGATGGAACAAATCTTCTGAAACTCAAAATTTTAAACAAAAATATAGTCTCGTTTTCCTTTGAAATTACGTCAAATTTCACATCATACATATATTTTAGGATATTAAACTTGGTTTCTATTTGGTCATTGAATTTAGAAAAGTGTCATTTTTTGTCCTTGAAATATATATTTAGTTTCCATTTAGTTCTTACGTTTGGAATGTGACATGTTTGGTCCTTAATAATGCTACAACAGTAGATATAGCAAGTAAGTAATACGAAAAGAAAAAGGAGGATATGAAATAGCCATAGTGGATGCATTGGACGGACGTCAAGTTGAAGTGGTTGTGTTTCAGATGGCTAATCTACGAGTAATCCTAATGTGGGAGGATTTGGTCTTCAAGTTTGAATTTGATTTCTATTTGGGCCCTAATGATAATGTGACAGTTCACATGTGTTTGACTAGACTTGACTACTTAAATAGAAGAGACGGAAGAATGGCACCAACCATCAACTTAACTCCCTAATTAAAATCAAATTCAAACGATCAACTAAAAACTAAATTCAAACGGATCAAACATGTTACTTTTTAAACTTTTAAGGACCGAATTGAGACTAAATTTAAATCTTGAGATTTTTCAATGACCAAATAGAAACTAAATGCATATAAGAATACTTTTATAATGAATTTTTTAAAGAACCACATTTTCAATCGGACATGTCTATGTATCCCTGAATTTTATATCAACACGAAAGATAAATTGACAATTTCCATATTATTATAAAAAATTGGACAAAAGATGAAAATATATCAACAAAATATTACCAGACATAACATTAATATTAATCATTTTGAAATGCTTATTTGTGGATTTAAATAAATTCCTCTGATATTTTAAAGATATTTTTGAAAACCTAATTATCAAAGGGGATGAAATTGAAAGGATACCTGCCAACTATACTGATCAGTGGAATCATGGTCATAATCAGAGACATCGTAACACGACCTCTCCCCCATATAAGCAACAACCCCTGCAAAAACTTGCCCAATCAAATCGCTCGATTTCTTCTTGGCTTCTCCATCAATGGCCGCGCATATGGCGTCCACTGGATTCGCCGATGGGAAATTGTACTGCGCCGCCTCCGTCAACACGCTGTCCAGATAGTCCTTCAGCTCCGAACTGCGATTCAATTTGCCGCAAGTTTTGAATCTCTTGCTCAGAATCGAAAGCCCCTGCGCCTTCTCCTCGGCGATTCGGTCGATTTCCGCCCACGATCTGCGGATGATTTCGTAGCAGGTTTCGCTCGTTTCCTGATTTCATCATCGATTGATTGATAAATTAAATTGGAAGGAAAATGGAGGATTAGAGATTTAGGAGTTTAGAAATTACTCTGAAGGATTTGGAGACGACGGAGTAATATCCATCTTGAGGCGTAATGTTGTCGAAGTAGAGGATTGGAGCCGATGAAGCTAGGGCTCCCAGAGCGATGTGAGGATACTTCAGCCTGAACCACGAAGCCAGCACTGTGCATCCATGGCGGCAGGATTCAACTCAACCAAATTAGGTTAAATTATAATTAAACTTCCCCCAATTTTAAAATTGTGGCCTTCTACTTTTTAAAGTTTCAATTTAGCCTTTAAGGTTTGATCTAGTTTCACTTCAGTTTGGTTTGGTTAAACTCATGGTATTAACTATCTGTTGACATTTAAAATCTTGTTAAATCTTGCTTGACATATCTAAGTTGTGTTTTTTTTCTTATATTTGTGAGCGCGCATCTCGACTAATCTCATGGGACAACTGTCTTACCCTACAACATTTGATGCCGAGAAACACATAGCAATGAATTACTAATTTTTAAGATAGGTGGTTATCATGAGATTTAAATTCATTCTCTATTAATTAACCCTAACTCATTTCTATTAATGAGGTCACCCCTTTGTTAATTGTGTTTCAAATTTTTATTCACATTAAAAAAAAAATTAATAGCCAAGGTAGTTGACGCTATCCTAATAGACAAGAATTAATCAAACCATAAGAATATTCACACATCAAACCATAAGAATCAAATTGAAATTTTAAAATGATAGGACTAGACTAAAATTAAATCCAAATTACAAGGACTAAAATGAAATTATACCCCAACTATAGTGATAAAATTGAAAATTTTAAAACTAGGGATAACAAATTGAAATTGTCTCATAATCATAGAGACCAAATTTCTAACCTAATAAAATGTAAAGTTTTGTATATTTAATCCTTATACTCTTTGAAACGATTTTAATAGATTCGTCAATTTTTTGTGTCTAATGAATCACTATTGTTAGCTCCCATTAATTTGAACTGTATACCACTAAAAGGCTTGAATGTTCCACAAATCAATCCACCACATATAATCTTTAAAACATAAAATTGAAAACTCAAGGACTTGTTAGAAACTTTTTAAAGATCGCTAGACCCAACTTTAAGAGTTCATTGACAAGATAGTTATGAAGTATAATGAAATAGACACGACTTTGAAAATTCATGGATTAGATATATAACATAACCCAAAAAATGATTAGTTTTAAGGAAATTTAGGGCAATTAGGTTGAATTACTTCCACCGTAGGAGCCTCCGATGACAATGATTGGAGATGTCTCAGCTGCAAACATTTTCTTGACGTGCAAAAGCACTTGGGCATAATCTGCTAAGGCTTGAGCCGAACTAAGGTACCCTCGAATGGTAGCATTTTCCATAGCCTTCTTTAAAGAACCAAATGGTATTGATTTCCCGTAAAATCTATGCTGTGTAAATAACAAAATATAGGTAAAAAATAATATGCATATATGAATTTAATGATAATTTGTCAAACGAATCGAAGTAAGAGAATTAGACAAAAATTTAAGTTGATGGATCAGTCCATTTAACATATTAGTAGCATCTCTACCTCTAAATACACCAACATAGCCTTGTATCGAGAGGCAAAATTAAGGGGAAGACCAATAGAAGGTATGTCATCGTCAAGATTTTCTTCGGCACCGAAGAAGGCAAATATGGGAGTGCTGGGATTGACACCTTTCCAATATTTGAAATCGATGACATATCTTTGATCAAACGTGACATCACTCTGGGGTTGGTAATTGAAATGGTCAAGTGGTTGTTTGTAGTAGAAAGTCGCTAATTCGTCAGACATACCAAGTTTTTGGGGCTTGTTCTGGAATGGCCTTCTTAGCCTTCCAAGGTGCGGTATGTGGGCAGAAACATAGGGAGAAACCAAAAGAAGAAGAAGTGAGACAAGTATGGATCGGCTCACAATGTAGTCCATATTATTCCACATTTTATCAACTTCAAGTGTGAATATGTATTTATAGGCACACAAAAAAGCCATCTTTTCCCACTCTTTCTTATTACCAAAAGTTTGGTCTCCCTCCTCTCATCTTTCTTACCACTTACCACTTATTATTGAGAAAGTTGAAATTCTTCCCTTCTCTTTCAAGAAAGGAAAGCTTCTATCCTTAATTGGTAATTCAACTCGCTCACTCTTCAAGTACCTCCATTAAATTTAAATGCTCACTATCTCGTCTCACTTCCAATGAATAAACGCGCAATAAACAAAGAGGGCAGAAGGATGGGAGAGAGAGTTGTAATGTAGTTAATTACAGAAAAATTATTGGTTGAGGATGCTACAGTATTAGATATATGTCAATTACCGCTGAGCTATGTTCACTTTGACAGCCTTTAATAATTGTTGGATACATGTAGGTTCGAAAAATTGCATGCTCCTAATAATTGTAGATTTGAAAATCTTAATGCTCTATTAATAACTATTAGAATTAAATCTGAAATGCTTTTATAGTTTCTTCCTCATGCATCTAAGATGTAAAACTACCCATGGAGTTCTGGCAGATTCCTCCAATAATCTCTTTTAGTTAGGAGAGGGAATTATTTTTTTGACAAATTTTTCTCATCACCTTAAAATATATTAAGGGAAGAAGTAATCAATTTTTATCACTAAACTTAAGTAATGTGTATTAATTTTTACCCTCACATTGTACCCTAGATTTAGATAGTATTGCAATTTTTACATTTGTTTAATTTTTGCTAGTTCACCTCCTTTCAACAAAAAAGTAAGGTAAAAATCTAAAAAAAAACTCACTAATTTTAATAAAAATCAAGCTTCATACAAAATTAAGTTTGATGAATGAACCATTTCATAAACTTTTCTAAAACTTAGAGAAGAAAAAAAAACTCCTTATAAAGTTCTTCTCTATAATCTTATCCATTTCATTTGTTTTATAATTTCTTTAAATACATCTAAGAATATACTTTTTAATTAACAATTCTTCGAATAAAACTATATCAAAAGGTAAAAATTGCAACACTACATTGACATAAAGATTGTGATACATTTTCAAATATAAAGGTAAAAATTGCAACCCTTTATCCAAACAATTTAATGAAATTAAATTTGCCTATCAAATTTATGGTAATTTTATTATTACCGTTGGCACATCACCTTTAAAATCAATTTAAAAAATTCAACGTCATTGTGGTCTTATTATTATTATTATTATTAAAGTGGCTAATGAAAAGTGAAAAAGCAAAGAGTATATTGAAGTATTTTAAAACTCAAAGGATTCATTTGTACAATTCTAGAACATGAAAACTTTAGTATTTGGTAAAATAAAAAGGTATTTTTGGCTGTGGAGATTTTACAATCTATCTAGTGGGCCTAGTGGTCAACCATTAATAGAAGCTTCAACCATGAAAATGATGAATAAAAGACAACCTTACAAAGACATCCACCAAAAACACCATATCCAATAGGACAACCCATTAACATTTTAACACTAAGTTTGCATTTCCTCATTGCCATTCGTTCCAAAGGTATATGATTTATCCCTTCACATCACATACATGTTTCTTAAATTATTTCATTATTTATCCGAGCAGTGTACAAAGTAATTACCTTGAGGTGTGAGGTTCAGACCCTAATGGATGATGTAGAAATGACATAGGATGAAGCTAAATTCAAGATCACCCAATCGAGATTACTTAAAATTCAAACACACTTAACTTTGGAGTCCTTACCATTGAGTTACCGAAAAGGAAATTGCATCTTGTTAGTATAAATAGTGATTATCAATGTTTTTAAGCATTCTTAATCGTTCTTTCATGGTCTCAAGATCCCTCTTATTCAGATGTGGTATTTGTTCATTCATGTATTCCTCCTCTCTATTCTAGTGTCACATGATAACACATTTCTAAAATTCATAAAATAACACCAACTTCTTTCGTTGTCAACATAAATGCTAAAACATACCCAATATATAAAAATTACCCAATGGACTCACCCAATACCTTAAAGCAACTACCAAGCCTCAATGTGCTCTCAACCAAACCACCAAAAAGTGTCTCGTTTTTCAAAGTTTAAGGAAGAATGAGAAAAGTTTGAATGGACGGAGGAGCGTGAGTGTGACTTCAAATAGCTAAAGGACTACCTCGACTCGTTTCTCCTCTCCAAGTTTATTCTTAGAAACAAGCTTCTCCTTTACTTTGTTGTATTTGAAACTGTCATGAGCACAATATTGGCAAAGGAAAAAAAAAAACGTAAATATCATCTTTACCTACACAGGGACAACTCTCAAGCTTTTTTACGTGAATCACATTTAAAATTTTGAGGCGTCGGATGATCCGTCTCAAAATGTGGTAATGTATTGATGCAACAAAAATCAGGCCAATCGAAGAAGCCCAAAGTATCTGCGCAAAACTCAATCTACTGCCACAATTAGAAGAAAATCGACATGCTGCAAAATCACAAATCAAAATGGCTCAATTTATCATACATGGTTTGACTGAAAGAAAACTTGAGGTGACAACACTAATCAAATCAAGGTGAGGCAGATGCAAGAATATCCAGTTAACACATCGAGTCGACCCAACCGAGCCACCGAGCCAAACACCAAAGTCGAAAGGCAGAGGTGGCTGAGCTGTGCCAACCATCAAGATCTTAACACTTACATGATTATAAATTATAAATCAAAATGGATAAATTTACCACACTTGATTCGACTGAAAGAAAACTCGAGATGACGACACCAATCCGGGTGAGGCAAAGTTAAGGATATCCGGTCAGCTTATCGGATCGACCAAATCGAACTGTCGAGCGTTGTTAAAGGACAACAATACCCCTCGTACCCAAATATCTCTATAATGGTACGATAGACATAATCCTCACAGTTTTGTTTTTTGTTTCGTTCAAAATGCCTCATACTAATTACCCTCTATTAATATATATCATGGATCACTATCTTTCCTAACTAACGTGAAACTTTGTTTGCACTTCTTACAAACCCAACAAGTATCTGGTATTGCAATTCGAATCCAAATTCTTACATCAATTGATTATACAAATTCCAACTCTCCCATTCGAGTATAAAAATCGAAATTTAGTAAAATTGTTGAGGAACTAATTGTGTTTCACATTCTAAAATGTAGAGACAATTCAATTTGGTTGAGTTGACTCAGACGTTATCCGCATTAAAGAAGATAAGATGTGGCTGACGACTGCCGTCTTGCCTTCTTTGGGACAATGAAAGACTCGAAGACTGCGACCCAACAGAAAAAATACCACCATCTAACTAATTTTTCATTTTAATTATAAAATTAAACATCTTGTTTAATAACTATTTTGATTTTTTCTTTTATATGTTTTATCAAAAGAAAATTTATGTGTTTAGTTAGTTCTATGTCTCTCAAAAAACAAAAATTGTACACGTTTGACGATTGCTTTTATTTTTTCGTTTTTGGAAAACAAAAAATTAAATATATTTGATAATTGTTTTTGGCTTTTTAAATTTCAAAAAATGGGAAAGTTAAGCCAGATATGTTAGAGAGGAAAAAAATTCTATGTAGAGTAAAGATGACAAAGAGACGAGTCGATGACGTCCCATCATCGGTCCCACAGAGATTTTTAATCTTCATAGCTACATTATTCCCCAATTTCAAGAATCGTGATTGGGTTGAGGAATTCCTATTTGGGCATGGAGATCCTCGAGGGGAAAAGTATTTGTCAAGTAATAAACTTTAACTATTTTTAATAAGTTATAACTAATTTACCTGAAAATTGGTATTTATATTATTTCCTGATATAAATGATATTTTTATTATTTATATTCATAATTTAGTTAAAAAGTTAGTAGAAAGTATATATTAGTTATTTACAACAAAGTAGTTGTCTACAATGTCGGGGTGGGGTGGGGAATGCATTCCCTATCCTCGTCCTAAAAAATGTCTTGGAGAAAAAGTTCCCTTATCCCATCCCCAATCACGAAACCTTCTAAAACACAGATTCCTCATCCGGTTTGGAGCGAGGACCATCTTTAGTGCAAAATTCTGGAAATTAAAAATTTAGAGGTGAAGAGAAAAGCTTTTAGAGAGAGACTAAACTTAGAGATGGAAAAAGATTTAAAAAGAGAAAAGAAATTGAGGAGAGATATGTTAGGAAAAGAGAGAAACGTTAGAAAGAGAAAAGTTAGAGAAAAAGATAGAAATTTTAGAGAGCGTAAAAGTAGAGACGACCAGAGAAATTTGAGAGAGAGATAAGTTAAGAGAATATATTAAGAAAATAAAGAAAAATTATAGTGAGAGAAACTTTAAAGAGAACAAATTTAGATGGAGCAAAGTTAGAGATATATTTGTTAGAGAAAAACAAATTAAAAAAATAAAAAAGTTGCAGTGAGAAATAAAAGTTAGAGATATATTTTTTAGAGAAAAATAAATTAGGAAGAGAAACAAAACTTATAGAAGGGATACATTTTAAAGAAATAATTGTTTAGATAGAGAAAAACTTGGGAAAATGTTACATTTTTAGAGAAAGATGTTATAAGAGAAAATAAAAATAAAAATATATTGAAATTTGAGATACAAAATTTAGGAAATAAAAAATAAGTTTTCTTTCTTTTACTATATATTAAATATAAATTAGAGAGAGGAAAAATTAAATTATAGGAAGAAGAAGAAATTTAAGAGAGATAAAAAGTTAGGGAGAGAACGATAAGTTAAAAAAAGAGATACATATTTGGGAGAGAATGAAAGGAAAATTATAAAAAAGAAAATTAATGAGAGAAAAGTTAAATAGAAAAGGATAGGTTAGAAAGAAGGGGAGAAAAAAAGTAGTTTTCTTAGTAAAAAAAGAAAAAAGAGAAATTAGATATGGAGAAAATGAAAGTTTAGGACAGATAAAAATGATAGAGAAATAATTAGTTAGGTATTTAATTATTTTTAATACAATAATATGGGAAAATGGATTGAATGGTTTACTTCCAAAATACTCGAAAATGACTGAATAAGATAAGAAAAAAAAATTGAAAATAGAGATAATATATTATGTTTTTTTTTGAAAAAGGGAGATAATATATTAAAAAGAGAAAGACTAAGAGATTGAAAAAATAGATTTTATAAAATGGAAACTCGTTTTGTTAAAATTTTTATGTACACTGAAAGTTGAAAAATTGGAAGAGAACTACTCATCGATTGAACACCACTAAAAAGTTACATGTTGCACTTAAAAAAACATTGTATTTTATTCTCTAAAGTTTACAAAAAAAAAATTTTACCTTTCTAATTTATTACTATGCTTATCTTTCATTTTTATTATTGACAATAATTGATACAAGAGATAATCTCATTCTTAATTTTGAATAAGGTGACACGATCTCATAGTTAGACGAAAATAGACATTAAAATAATCAAATTGAATTATGGTTAGATTTTATAATTTTAGAAGTAAAAATTACATACTTTTATATCTATGAATTTTCACTTGCTCAACCAATCACCCTAAATCCTAAATCGTTCAATTGAACATTAAACTGTCCTGTCTCATTTTAAATTTAAAAAATTTCCATTTTGTCAACTAGTATTAAGTTGTTAACAGAGATTAAAAGTACATCATTCAAGTTAAAATATAATTACATTTAATTAGATCAACAAAGAGTAGAAATTAAAAATTTCGACTTCTTGATTGAAGATATATGCTTAGAATTATATATGTTGAGGGTGAAAACCAAGCAACACATGTGGGAAGTGCATAGGACGACAAGTGGCAATGGTGATCGACCCTTTATGGATGTACGATTAACGAAGGGAGGATACAAAATCTGGCAGGCACGTACACGCAATTATGCCGGTTAAAGAGCATTTACAGTGGGTCAAGGCGATAGGCAACACAACAAGGATGGCACCACGTGCTAGGAATGTTGGGGCCCGCCAAAGCTCATACACCCCACTGCACTTTATGCCAGACGTCCTTCCTAGTTGGCTCTGTCGCCTATAAAAAGAGACAAAATACCACGAGTATATGGTAAGTGAAAAAATTGTCACTAAATAGTTAAGGTGCTTTCCATTTTCYTCCTCTTTTCTGGTTTACTAATTTGACCATCTGGACATCGCATCAGTGRGAGGTTTGTTACTAAAGTTAATTTATTTGACGGTCCCCGGTCGAAAGACACATGCACTAGTCGGATTTTGACATCAAATATTAGTCATGCTCTTTAAAAAAATTTATAATAAACCTTTTTATTTAAATAGTAGTATTTATTTAGTTCATGTAATTAAAGTGTGAAGGTAATTATCATTTTTTTAATCTATACAAATATGATATTTTAAACAACAAATAAATATTTAACTATTTCATGAACTATTCTTAAAAAAAACTTCAATAACTTTGATGAGTTTAAAAAATTAAATCAATAATTTACATTAGTTAAATTTGTTCGTTTTTTAATATATAGTGAGGTGGAAATTCAAACTTACGACTCTTTTATATTGATTTCTTAGTTAAATGCGTTCGTTTCTACTAGTAGAGTTAGTTAAGTTAAAAAAAGGAAAAAATATGTCAAAATTTTCATTTTCCTTAACAATTAGTTAATTTGATAAAATTTTGGCTAAAAACTGCGATCCAAATAATTTTAGCTAACAATATTCCTACTCGTATTGATTTTATTCTTATTTCTATTAAGTAAATCAGGCATCATTGAAGTTGAAAATCTACCCCGAATAATTTATCARCATAGTAACATAATTTGAGACATTATTTACTTTCCTAAAACTTGCAAGTTTTGAATCTCTACCAACAAATCCATACCGGACCGGACTAATCATCGATTTCTGCAGTTTAATCGGTTTATTGTATTTTCAGAACCGAAATATTCCATTACAATTTGAAGTTSAAAAAGCGAACATCGATTTTCTTTTCTGGCTTTTGGCTTGAGGTTTTTGAGAAACTTCTGGACCAATGGGGGCCAAATAAACCGACCCGGACATAGAAGATTCGAAAACCGATCCGGGTCGGTTCAGGTTTTGGTTTTAACCGGAAAAAGAACGAGGGTATTTCTTCTTCAGCCCTGTGGCGCTCGTTCCTTCCCTCTTTCTCTCACTTTTGCCGTTGAAGAAATTGATTACACGCATCAGCCGGCGACCCGCCGCTCTGTCTCTCTCTCTCGCCGTCCAGCTCCAGCGGAAGACCGGCGGCGGCTGACCCACTCCCCTCTTCCGCTACCTTTCTAGGGTTCGTCTCCTATCTCTCTATCTCAGATGAATTTTGTATTCTCTTCTTGCATTCCCCTTCTTGATTTGGAATCCTCGAGTTTGTGAGGGAGTTGAAATTTTCTACGATAATTGCAGTCTTTACAGTTCCTGGAAATTTCCCACCTCAGAAAAAAGAAACCCAGAAGACTTGTCTGTGGGCTTGTTCTGTTCTTTGTGTTTCTGTTGGCTGTCGTTGTAAATTTTCTCCTATTTTCTGATAGAGAACAGAACGATTTCTCTGTGAAGAAGGCATCCCCTCTGAAGGAGATTGTACTTCTATTACTCAAAAGTAGAAAACCTAAGCTACACTGAAACAATGTCTTCGTCCAAAGATGCGGATCCAACCCTAGGCTACCTCACTCGAAAGGATGCTGAGGTGAAGTTGCCGCGACCCACTAGGGTGAAGAACAAGACTCCGGCTCCAATTCAGATAACTGCAGAGCAGATACTTCGTGAGGCTCGTGAACGACAAGAGGCGGAGATTAGACCGCCTAAGCAGAAGATCACTGATCCAACTGAACTTGCTGATTATCGCCTTCGCAAGCGTAAGGAATTTGAGGATCTCATACGCCGTGTCCGGTGGAATATCAGCGTTTGGATCAAGTATGCTCAGTGGGAAGAGTCTCAGAAGGATTTCAATCGGGCTCGTTCCGTTTGGGAACGCGCYCTTGAGGTTGATTACCGTAACCATACCCTTTGGCTCAAGTATGCAGAGGTTGAGATGAAGAATAAATTTATAAATCATGCAAGGAATGTCTGGGATCGAGCAGTCACCCTTTTGCCTAGAGTGGACCAACTATGGTACAAGTACATTCATATGGAGGAAATGTTGGGTAATGTGGCTGGTGCAAGGCAGATTTTTGAGAGGTGGATGGGCTGGATGCCAGACCAGCAAGGTTGGCTGTCTTACATCAAGTTTGAGTTGAGATACAATGAGGTTGAACGTGCACGGGGCATATTTGAGCGCTTTGTTCAGTGCCACCCTAAAGTTGGGGCATGGATACGTTTTGCGAAATTTGAGATGAAAAATGGGGAAGTTGCAAAGGCAAGAAATGTTTACGAGAGAGCAGTTGAGAAGTTGGCTGATGATGAAGAGGCAGAGCAACTGTTTGTTGCTTTTGCTGAATTCGAGGAGAGGTGTAAGGAAACAGAACGGGCACGGTGTATATATAAGTTTGCCCTAGATCATATTCCCAAAGGTAGAGCTGAGGATATTTATAGGAAGTTTGTGGCGTTTGAGAAGCAATACGGGGATAAGGAAGGAATAGAAGATGCTATAGTGGGGAAGAGGAGGTTTCAATATGAAGAGGAAGTGAGGAAGAATCCCCTAAACTATGATTCTTGGTTCGATTATATACGATTAGAGGAGACTGCGGGAAACAAGGAGAGGATTAGGGAAGTCTAYGAAAGAGCAATAGCCAATGTTCCTCCTGCCGAAGAGAAACGGTATTGGCAGCGTTATATTTATTTATGGTAAGTATGCCAAGAGAGACATCCTTTGTTTACTTTCTATACTTTTGTTTTGAGCRTGCAGATTTTACAAATATTTGCTGATTGTTTGTTCTATCTAATTTAGGATCAATTATGCGCTATACGAAGAATTGGATGCTGCAGATGTTGAGCGTACCCGTGATGTATATAGGTATGCTGAATTTTKCATGGTGTCAGTATAYGTAATTACAACAATGTTATAAGCATCCTAGTGTGTGAGTATTTAAATTGTATTACTCTATAAAATGTTCAATGTGCAATGTAACCATTTGGCAAAACATTTGAAAATCCCTACATTACTGTCATGCTTCATGATAATCATCAATACATATGTTGTACATATATAGAAAAGTCTTTTCATTCAACATAAATTTTGGCAGGGAGTGTCTGAATTTGATTCCTCATGGGAAGTTTTCATTTGCGAAGATATGGCTATTAGCTGCACAATTCGAAATACGACAATTGAACCTACAAGGTGCTCGACAAATACTAGGCAATGCAATAGGGAGGGCTCCTAAAGATAAGGTAATGTCATAGATTTTTCTTTTTCTTTTTCCTTTTTTAAAAACATCATCTCAGTTGCTGGAGAGTTCATGTTATTATTTTATCTAATAACAGATATTCAAGAAGTATATCGAGATAGAACTGCAACTAGGGAACATAGATCGTTGCCGTAAATTGTATGAGAAGTATTTGGAGTGGTCACCTGAAAATTGTTATGCATGGAGCAAGTATGCAGAGTTGGAGAGATCTCTGTGCGAAACTGAGCGAGCCAGGTCTATATTTGAGCTTGCAATTGCACAGCCTGCACTTGACATGCCAGAGTTGTTATGGAAGGTACTTCAAGAACTGTAAAATGTTCGTAGCCCCAAGGGGCAGCCCGGTCTGCAAGGGCTTGAGATCTCTTGGTCATTCTGGCTTAGAGGTCTCAAGTTCGAACCTTCCGGTGAGCTTAATATCAAAAACCTTTAATGTCTCCTAGGTTCGTGCCGAGACCCAGGTGCCCTTGGGTATAGGGGAGTAAAACTCTGACTCCTAGTTATCAAAGAAAAAAAAAATCTGGASTGTTAGAGGTTGAAACGGTACTTATTTTTATTGTTTGATGCAGGCCTATATTGATTTCGAGATATCAGAGCATGAATTTGAAAGAACTCGAGAGCTCTATGAGAGACTTTTAGATAGAACAAAGCACTTGAAAGTGTGGATTAGTTATGCCAAGTTTGAGGCATCAGCTATGGAGGATGACAGTCGGCTGTCGGAATTACCAGAAGATAATGTGCAGGAATATCTTCAATCATGGAAGAAACAATGCATTCAACATGCTAGAAGTAAGGAGACCCAATACTATTGTATTCTTTYGAGATCATTATTGTTCTGTCACCCCTCAACAAGTAGAATAGAAGCCTGACATAATTTCATGCTTCAGGGGTCTTCGAAAAAGCCATTACTTACTACAGAAATTCAGCACCAGAATTGAAAGAGGAGAGAGCTATGCTCCTTGAGGAATGGTTGAATATGGAGGCAAGTTTCGGCGACCTTGGTGACGTTAGCTTAGTGCAGTCTAAGCTACCAAAGAAACTTAAGAAGAGGCGGCAAATTGCGACCGAGGATGGTCCGGCTGGGTATGTGACTAATCTAATGTTTATATCATGTTAAATCTGATCTAATTGTCAAATCTGATTCTTTATACTGTTTAAATTTTGGCCGGGGTACAACGTTATATCAAAAAGTGTTCTAATTGCTATCTTCTCCTGCAATACACCAAAAGAGAAAAAGATTATCTTCTCTATATCTCAATAATGCTTCAGCAATGTTGCAGTTGCTCATATTARAACTTTTGATTGGCAGGTTTGAGGAATACATTGATTACTTGTTCCCAGAAGAAACACAAACTACAAATCTCAAAATCCTTGAAGCTGCATACCGTTGGAAGAAGCAGAAAGTTGATGATAGTTAATCTGGCCTTTCGGTAATCAGAAATTGTATKTACTGGACGTATGAAAGAAAAATATAAGTTTTCGGTGTGCACAAATTGTTAGTTTTCTTAGATTACTGTGTGATACTAGGATATATTGGATTTTAGTTAACTACATTGAATTAGTTCCAATGGTATTCATGTTAATACAAAGTTTAATCAATTTATTTTTAATTCRTAAATCCAAACCAAGAAGAATCTTTGGAAAATTTTAAGCTAGTTTGGTTCATTTATAAACAACCAAATGATACTTTGAGCAATTTTAGGCCTTTTTTTTGTTAGACATATCGTAATATTTGTTTCCTTTTTTCAGGTATTTTGAATGTGGAATGCTTCACACATTGGGAGATTAGATTTGAGGAAGACAAAAATGGATCCTAGATCTATTAGGTGTATTTCTTAATTATATTGTAACTTTAGAAGCAAATTGTAAGAATAATTTTTATTTAATACAAATATTAGATTAAGGATTTTTTTCGATGCTACATATAGTGTCGGTAGAGATGTGCGTCGACAAAAGTCTTCTCTATCTAAAGTTGTAGATTGCATCGACAAATCTTTGTCGAGGTTAACCATTTGGTGTCAACAAAGTTCTCCAAAGTTTTTTTCCAACATTTTTTGTATACTTTTTCCAATGACTTTATGCATTATGTACTTCAAATTTCATATTGCATCTGGTAGATCTTAGGCTACCTGTTTTTATACCCGATGCTAGATGCAATATGTGTGATTTAAAATACACATTTTTCCATTAAATTGAATAGAAAACTTTAACACTAGCCAAAATGAAATTTTTTGCGCATTAGAAGTAAAATAAAATATTTGAAATATAAGGTAGTAACCATGAGAAAATGTAAATCCAAATCTTGCTCAAGTAGATAAGGCATAATTGGACCTTTTGCTTCCACAATTATTTAATTAAAAAAAAAAAGAAAAGAAACAAAAATGAAGGAAACAAAAGAAGTCATTACTTTCAATTTTTAGTCTTATATTTATAAAAGTTTATAGACTTAAATAAGAATTTTAAGTATATATAATATTACCAAGATATAATGAAGATTTAAATGTGGAAGAGACTTTTTATKTTATTTTTCTTTCTAAAATTTTACTCCATAACGTAAAATAAATATGGGTTTAAAAGGATGTCACAACTTTTTATTTTTACAAAATATAGGTTAAGTTCGACTTTTCTTTAGTTACCTTACATTTAAGTTTGACTTTAATTTAAATTATTTTATTTTTGTAAAATTATAAACTATTTTGATATATTTATAAAAAAATTTTTGTTTTATGCTATGAATGTAAATAGCTAAAATCTTTTATGTTTAAACCTTGACTAAGATTTTTTTATTAGTACAATAAAGTATGGAACTCAAATCCACAATTTTTGTGTCAGAATATATGRTTTAACCAGAGCATACTACTAAATGAAGATTTAAATATTTATATCTTTGATGATATAGAAAATCTTAATCTTGGTTATTATGATTTCTTATCATCTGTAACCAAGGAACCATATAATTTTAAATGTCAAAGAAAAAAGYGAAAAAAAATTAAATAAGTAATTACGAACTCGACACAAATAAAATAGTTACAGTCATGAGATCCTTTTAAAATTTAGATTTAAAAACTATTTCCGCAGCTGTAGTTTTAGTTTTGAAAATTAGGATCTTATACGTATAGGGTCATAGACTATTTTATTGAACATGATTTTTTTTAAATAATATTTTATTTAAAATAATGGTGCATTAAATAAAATTGAAGAAAATATGTATTTTAAAATTTATTCCAAAAATAATASTTTTGAAATTAGTCTCTCACTTGGTTCACCATGCCATTTTTAGTAGTTGGCTTACACTTTATAAGGACGTGCCGCCAATTTTTAAAAAAATCAAGACATAGTCGAAATCAAGACATAGTCGTCTCCATGTGTTGGAACGCATTTTATGGTCGTCTCTTCAGCGGRCCACAAATAAATATTATAATATATTATATATTAAAAAGTAGATTTTTGGTCATGACATCAATTAGTGGCGCAATGGATGATCGAGCAAAAATCTACTTTTTGATACGTAATATATAATAATATTTATTTTTTCCTTAAAAATCCAAGCCATTGGTTTAAGAAGTATTTTTTATTTAATGCATCATTATTTTAAAAATAAGTTTTAATAAAGATATTATTTAAAAAAAATCCTTATTGAACAAGTATAGAAATTAAAATGAAATTATTGGAAATAAAAATAAATAAAAGCTGAAATTACAAGATGAAATTTGAAAATAATATTTAAATCTAAAAATTATTATTTTTATCTTCTAAAAACTTGCGATCGTGAGCGTTGGTTCCAACGCCTATTWGCCGTCAGATCTAGGGCATCAAAGACTAGAAACCCTAATATACTGATATTCTTCTGCCCCACGGGGGTTCTTTTGTTCCACTCTTTCGACTCTTCTGCAACAGCTCTGGAGGGTACCGATTCCGACGAGCGAGAAGATGGTGCAGCGGCTCACTTACCGTAAGCGGCACAGCTATGCCACCAAGTCGAACCAGCACCGCGTCGTCAAAACCCCGGGTAAAATGGCAATCTGCTTCTAATTGTTGAAAATTTCTCTGCGTTGTTTTAATGAATTTCTTGTACGCCTCTTGATTTGTATTCAAGATCTGGTATCAATTGCGTAATCGGTGATGTGTGGTTTGATTGTTAGGGGGGAAGCTTGTGTACCAGACCACGAAGAAGAGGGCCAGTGGTCCTAAATGCCCTGTCACTGGAAAGAGAATTCAAGGGGTGCGTATGGCTTTTTTCTCCGTTTTGTTTTCATCAATCAAGTTAGCTTCAGAGCTGTAGAATTATATTTTGACGGAAATTTTTGGGTGCGTTTTTGAGCATTGGGTATTTCTGTGGAGTGATTTTTGCAAGTTAGGCTGGTTGGTTTTTTGGATTTGGAATTTTATGTCGATCGTAGTAAAAGTAAATTATGCGGATGTTCTGGCTGATTTTTCATATGTAGCGAGTCGTTAATTTGTGGAGTTATAGGGAGCTGATTTTCTTGTGGTTTTTGCATCCTCTTAAATTGTTAATATCATGGTGTTCATTTTGAGTAAGTTTTGTTGRGCTTTAGAACTGGTTTGATTGTTGATATCTGGTATAATTTGGGGTTTCTTTGAACAGATTCCTCACTTGAGGCCTGCTGAATACAAGAGGTCTAGGCTTGCTAGGAACCGTAGGACTGTAAACCGTGCCTATGGTGGTGTACTATCTGGAGGTGCTGTAAGGGAGAGGTGTGTTTCTTTGATGTACATCACGACATTGTCATCTCGGTATGGACTGTTGCTTGGTAATTTCTAAAGGATCTTTTTTTTTTTCCTAATGTTGTAGGATTATAAGAGCTTTTTTGGTTGAAGAGCAAAAGATTGTGAAGAAGGTCTTGAAGATCCAGAAAGCAAAGGAAAAACTTGCCTCCAAGAGCTAGAACAACCGGTTTAAAAGCATGAAACCCTTTCCATTTTATATATGCTGAGTGAAAATTTTGACTTGGATCAATGACTTGTTAATTTAAATGATTTTGGAATTAGCATTGTTTTCTTTCAGTTGTATTAGTCGTTTCAAGTTTCTTCTACATGAATATTAAGTTTGCCGTTCTTGTTTATGCTGACATTTGGTACTGGGGGATTTTTCTTCATTATTCCTCATACTTAGCATGTTTTTCTCCATTAGATATTAGATAATCTTAAAATGAGAGATTTCTTCAGAGCCTAGATCCCACACGAGAAATCCTATCGTCCTTCCACTTGCAGAGCATCTCGACATTAACCAATGAATTCTTTTTTGCAACAACATTGTTACTTTATCTTCTATGAAGATACCAATCCCTACCTTCCACTTGAACTTGATTCTAATTATGGTGGGAAGAATTTAGGTTGTTTATATATGAAGTCTCTAATGGCATTTAACCTCAAATAATCTTCTGCATTATTTATGTGAATATGTTGGGTCCATGTGTGTAAAAATTATATGTTTTGTGCATATGTTTTTGAAGCACATAATTAGATTCATGCCAATAAGTTAGTATGATAAGAGTTTGAAATCTTTAATACTCTGAGACTCAAAAGGGAAGAAACATGACTGCATATTTAGAGTGGCAGGAGATGAAATCTTGAAACTGATTTCCATTTGACCATTTATAATGTAATKTAATAGGGATAGGGTCCCTTTTCGATACTCTCAATCTCAAGTTATGCTTCTCTATAGTTATGAACTCTGGCCATTTGTATTGTGATTCATGAAGGAACTAGCTTGGAAATAGATGGAGAATTTTAAAGTTCGTTTGGAAACGTTCTTGTTTCTTTATTTTAATGAAGAAAAATGTGTTGCACGGTTTCAATCTCCATAAAATAATGTTTTAATTTATGTTTTGGAATAAATTGGAAATGGGAACAAGAAAAGAGAAATCCTAACATTTTTATACAATTGTGAGAAAAAGAAACAAGAAACAAAGTTAGTTCTAAAATACTTTGATTTCTTAAGAAAATTGGAAACAAATGGGCTCTTACATACTTTGATTTCTTAAGAAAATTGGAAACAAATGGGCTCCTAGGATCTGTTTGATTAGCCGTCCAGGTCTGTTTGATTAAGTGAATATGTGTCAACATTTTTTATTTTGGGTTAGAATTTGTGTTTTGATTCAGTGAATATTAGTCAACATTTTTTATGTTGGAATTTGAAACATCAAAAGGTAGAATTATAAGGAAAAAATATAAAAATTTTAATAAATATGTTATTTCATATTATAAGATTATTTTGTTTTTATTAAAATTAAAACAGGTAAAATTTTAATATATTATAAATGATTTAATATTGCAGAATAATTATTGTACAAAGTTTATATAAACTATGTTAATAAATTAATTAATATTATTTTAGATTGAAGGRAATATTTAGCTAGCAATTACCATTTGTATTATTTAATACAATTGATCAATTTTTAATTTGACATGTCTTAAAATATTGAAAAATAATAATTCAACTCAATCCATTGTTTTTAATATTTTGTTTTTATAACCAAACCCAACCTTAATGTTTCTTCATACCTTAACATTTTAGGAACTAAAAACGATATATACTGTAAGAAAAAATAATTATATAAATATAATTATTTCAAACTAACTTCCTAGAATATTGTGGTTTTAAACTAACCAAGTGGCAATATGTCTTTCCTCCTTACAAACTAAATATAAATCTAATTTAAACTAAATATTCTTTGATCTTATAAAAACAAAGGATTATATTAAGTTTTAAAGTATTATATATATTTTTTGTTCATGTTAGTAGTACGTGAAATGTTATACTAGGTCGTTATAGAAAAGTTCAAGATGTGATATATTATTTGATTGATTTGAATTATTGAGAGACCATATACGAAAGTAAATAACATTTACATGGTACATCCGAAGATTAATCTTATAAGGAAAATCTCAATAAAATTGTTACAATATATTATAAGCAACAATTATTTTAAGATGCACAGGAAAGCAAGTAGTAGATACATTTTGAATTTTTTCCCCTCCAAAATGTGAGGTTGGAATTCTTAATTAGATATTAAAACATTTTACTCAAATCAATCTAGTTCTTAGAATGGATTGTTTTTATCTTTCTTAAAATCTCTTGGAATTGATTTTGATGTCCATCTTTAATTCCAAGACTTTAAATTTTGGCTAATGATTGTCGAACTAAATTTACCCTCTCTCTATAAATTTATCTTCCCTCTATTCCTTGTTAGTCTTTATTAATTATTTATATTTTAAAAACATTCGAAATAATACAAAAATATCATTTTGCTCGTACTTGTATTTATGTAGTTGGTTTTAATTTTCTCTAAAGTTTTAAACTTTATCCCTATATATATAACTTTTTGAAACTTTTAAAATGTTAAAAATAAAATTGATCCCAACTAAATGAATCATGACTTAAATGAAAAAAATGTTTATTAAAAAGTTAAATTCAATCATTAAAATTTCGAATATTTTTTATAATTTATTTACTTCTTAAAATATGTATTAATATCTTATCTACTCAGCTATACTCGTGTTGGCTAAAAAAAAGGAAACTCCTTAAATTATATAAATGAAATTAATTATATTAACTCCAGTCCATTCCTTACCAGCCCAATCCAACCCAGCGGCCCAGCCCACTTTAATAAAATGAAAAATAAAACACGGAAAAGATGTTAATGCCGGTTCGGTTCGGTTCGGTTGAAATCCCACGGTTTAGCGAAGAGAGAGAAAAAATGGAAAACCGAAACAAGCCGAATCGATGTTCTACGGTTCTACCCGCATTTCATTTGTGAGTCTGACAAAGTTCATGTCGAAAATGATTCAACGAGAGCCAGATTCGATGAAGGGGGAAACGAAGAAATAAGAAACTTCTTTTTCATAATTCATCTCCCTACTTCCTTCAATCATTCGCTTTAGCTTTCCTTCTGTGACCGAATAGAGAAGAGAATCTGAATCGGACGTACATCGCAATGGCTCCGATTGCGTCGGAAAACGGCGTGGAAGGCGATGATGAGAGGGAGGAGGAGGAGGAAGACGAGGAAGAAGAAGAGGAGGGAGCAGAATTCGGTGGCGATGAGGAGGAACCCAGGCTCAAGTATCAGAGAATGGGCGGAAGCGTGCCATCGCTGCTGGCTAGTGATGCCGCGTCGTGCCTTGCCGTTGCTGAGAGGATGATCGCGCTTGGGACTCACGCCGGCACCGTTCATATTCTCGACTTTCTCGGAAATCAGGTCGGCTTTTTTTTTTTTTTTGGTTTCAATCGGTGAGTTTTGATTTGTTTATTGTAATTTGGGAGTTGAGAGTGCAGTTGGGTCGAATTATGATTTACGTAAGTTTTGAGGTTATGATAGTTTCTTAAAAGTAATTGAATGTGGTTGTGCTATCAGATTAGTTTCTTTACTAGTTACTGTCTTACAGACTTGAGCTTCGATTTTGCCATCTATACAGGCTCCTTCCTAATTATTGTGAATCAGATTATACTTTGTGGTTGTGAAAAAAATATATTAATGGTCAATCTATGACATTTTGTGGTTAAGTAGTGCGCATGGTCCTATATTTGATTGGGAATTAGAATGCAGGATATTCCTTGGTAGCCGTTGGATCTTACTGCTATACATGCCTAATCTTTGGAAGTGTATGCTCAATTTTATATTTCTCAGGTCAAGGAATTCTCTGCTCATACTGCTGTAGTCAACGACCTCAGCTTTGATATAGAAGGTGAATATGTAGGAAGCTGTTCGGATGATGGTTCAGTGGTAATAAATAGTCTATTCACTGATGAGAGAATGAGGTTCGAGTATCATCGCCCTATGAAGGCAATTGCACTGGACCCAGACTATGTAAAGAAAACTTCTAGAAGATTTGCAGCAGGTGGTCTAGCGGGCCATTTATATTTTAATTCAAAGAAATGGCTAGGATATAAAGACCAGGTTATTAACATTCTCTTTGTCACAGTTGAGAAAATATACCTTGTACCAGATGAATAGTTTCTCATTCTGAGCCTGTTTGCATTTGTAGGTCTTGCATTCTGGTGAAGGTCCAATACATACAGTGAAATGGAGAACAAGCCTTATTGCTTGGGCAAATGATGCTGGTGTAAAAGTTTATGATGCTGCAAATGATCAGCGAATTACATTTATAGAAAGACCGAGAGGAAGCCCACGTCCTGAACTTTTGCTCCCTCAATTAGTTTGGCAGGTTTGTCAAAATTTCATGATTTTGTCGACATACTGTACTGTACCAAGAAATTAACTGAAGTGGATGCTACTGCGGCTGCTTGAGGGCTGTAGTTGCTAGCCCTCTTTTCCAAAAAAAGAGAAAAAAAAAAAAGGGTATGAAAAACCCAAAGAAAATAAGATGGAGGGTGAGGCATCCTCCTGAAAATGAAGAAAAATATTTACAAGAAAGCTCTCTCATTAGTTTATATATATTTACTTTTTTATTTATAAACTATCATAAAAAGTACTATATTAGACAAGGGCTCCATCCAGAAGCTAGAATGACTACTCTGTCTACAGTCTTCCCTTCATTTCCAGACTTATATTCAAAATATGCTTATTCCTCTTAAGGCATGTCTCAAACAAAAGCAATAGCCACATTGGTTCACAAAATTTGACACTATCTTCTTCTAATTATTCCGTTAATTGGGAGCCTCGTTGTAAGTATTTTCTGGCCTATTGTACTTGTGTAGTGTGAGGAGGGATTTGTATATGTCTGAAGAACATCTTGTACTTGAACACTACTGGAACTTTTCAAATATAAATAGGAAGTTTGTTTATTGTTTAGAAAAAAAAATTAAAACTTACTTTGCACCAAATTATAGTTTAATATTATTTAATTAATTACAATTAGTTACTTTAATTAATTAGAATAAATAACGACTATGCTAAGTTTTTATCTTTGAACATTTTATGTTCATTTTCATTTACCAATGAAAAGTTCGTTTCTTGTTAAAAAAAAAACGACTATGCTCACCTCTCTACCATTCATTTTCTAGGAATGAAGTACCCTGTTGGTAGGAATAACAAAAAACAGTGTATATTTTCTTGTTTTAAATAAATACTTGAATAACTATTTCTTGTGTTTTGACTGTGAACAAACTTAGGTATTTAATTTAATATCTGTGGTGAACTCATGGGAATGCCAATGAAGTAAACTGGCCATAAGCCTTTTTCTACACAATACAGATTATTAATATTTTCGGGAACTATTTTCCCACCTTTTTAACTTCGATAAGGCATATGAGTAGTGGTAAAGAAATAACTTAGTGTTTTCCTCTTGGCATAGGGTTAGCGTTACAATTCTTAATTTTAGCATCATTTCTTACTGTATTTCCTCTATGTTCAGGATGATACTATGTTGGTCATTGGTTGGGGAACATCTGTGAAGATTGCATCAATTCGAACAAACCAGAATAGAGCGGCCAATGGGACACAGAGTAGTAGGCACGTTCCATTGTCTAGCATGAACCGGGTTGATATAGTGGCATCTTTTCAAACCAGCTACTTAATCACAGGAATGGCTCCATTTGGGGATTTCTTGGTTGTTCTAGCTTATATTCCTGGAGAAGAAGGTGAAAAGGATTTTAGTAGAAGTGCTCCATCTCGGCAGGTATGCTCACAGCAAGTTGAATGTACTCATGCACTCAGTACAAGTTCTTAGTGAATTCGTATTTATACAAGTTCTTAGTGAATTCTTTCTTTTTTATAAGAAGTTGTTAGTGAATTCACTTGTTAAAATTGTACTCATGCACTCGGTACTAAAAACGTAGAGCTTAATTAAGAATTTGTGCTATGCATGTATCGCGGCCTTTGTAATCACTGCCAAAACTATTTGAATTAATTCCTTGTTGGTTTGTCACATTTAGTGAGATGTTTTTTTTGAACACGAAACAAGAAATTTTCATTACTTGAAAAGAAAGAGGAAAATACAAGAAAAATAATTAGTATATTATTTTGTTACAGTTCCTTATTTAATTATTTAAAGATCATGAATATGTTGTTACTTTTGTTTAAGTGCGTATGCGAGTAAATGGTATATGTAATGTTGGAAACTTGGAATAAATAGTCGTTTAATCTGTCTGTTGTATATCGTTTGTCTTGTATTCTCTATTACACCCGATCAAACTTGAATCTTTATGTGTTTGTTATGTAAAAGCACGAGTACGACCACCTGCTATATAGTCTAGGATTGTATTAGGCACTTGCTCTTTTTTCTTCATGAAATCAAATTCGAAGGTGCTGGTTATTCCCTTTGATGTCATCAGACTGTTTTTGTGATCTTACTTGTATAAATCTCTTTCAAGCAGGGAAATGCACAAAGACCAGAAGTTCGTATGGTAACATGGAACAATGATGAACTATCTACTGATGCATTACCTGTACATGGTTTTGAGCATTACAAGGCAAAGGACTATTCCCTTGCACATGCTCCTTTCTCAGGTTGATTTATATCTATGGTATATTATTCTTTTAGCGCAAGGTAAAATGCCTTAAATGTTCAAATACTTCTTTATGTCAGTGTAGGCAGCAGCTATGCTGGTGGTCAGTGGGCTGCTGGTGATGAACCTCTATACTATATTGTATCCCCTAAGGATGTAGTTATTGCAAAGCCCAGGTTGGTTTTTGATCTACGTTGCTTCATAACTCCAGACTTTTCATTTTCTTGTTGTACTGTTAGGCCTCCAGTAGTGTACGCATACAGCAGAGGGGTAGAGCAGGAATTCCACCCCTAAACTAATGCTTATAGGAGGGAGGGGTAGAGTGGGAACTTCCCACCAAAGTTAGTTAGGAAAAGAGTATGGTGAGAGAGGGAGTGCAGGATATAGGTGAGTGGGGATGGACACTCATTTGGAGGGTAGGCTTTGTTTTGTTGGATAGTGTGAGGCTATTGTAGGAGATATTCACAACCCTCTCGAATTGGCTGGTTGATTGTAAGCCTTTGGGCACAAGTTGTTGCTTTTTAATACCAAGAACTTGTAAGGGGATTCCTTACATGTACCTGGTACTCTTTTAATTGTCAGTCACTGGAGAAGACTTGTAGTATTATCTGTAAGCTCATGGGTATGTTTCTTTTGATGTGCTTGTTTTTCTTGTGTGCTTAGTTTTGCACCTTTCATTTTACTTTAATCACTCTTAATGGAAGTATTGGCTGAATTTGTCAGTCTTTATAGCCCTTATAAATTATAAGTGAACAAATCGTTTGTGATGTTTAATTGCATTTGTGGGCACTCCCCTGGTGTAATGTCTTACTTATGTGGCAGTTTTCTGCAGCATTCTAACAATTCTTTTATTGATATTTTTTAAGCATGAAATGAAAAGAAGAACAATAGCAGCCACATAAAGAAAAAAACCGACAGCCACACAGGACATTGGAGTGCCAGAAAGCAAATATATACACAAAGGGTCCCAATTGTTTGTAATAAAATGATAAAAAATAAGTAAAATAGTCGATGTTTCTAATTAAAAAAAAAGAATAAGTGAAAGTTCTTTGAAGGACTATTAATACTGGTCCAAGGCCAAGGAGTTAATGGAGTCAAATTTTGCACCCTTTCTTTTCTTTTTTTTTTTTTGATAAGAAACAAAGATGGGTAATATTAATCAAGAAACCCAAAAAGGGGTAAACAACCTAAAGGCAGAGGGTAGAGAGAACCCTCTCCTCAAGACTATATTACTACAACTTTAAAGTAGGTGAGGTTGGCAAATTTTGCCCCTCATTCCAAGGGCCCTCCAACTTCAAAGAAATCTTCATATTTCTTCCCAACCAACATTCCACAGAATGGTGAAACAATCGAACTGGTGTAAATCTATTCCTTTGTCATTGACAGATACAACAATACATCCTCCATCACAACCTGACAACTACGAGGAAGAAAAAGAGGAGCGAAACATCTTCATAAGTGGAATGGACAAAGCCATAAAAGATGATCAATGTCTTTAGATGTTGCTTTCTAACTTTAGCTAGTGGTTCTTTGTAGGATCAATTCCAAGGACTTTATGTAGAGATCTTTGGAATTTTCAACTTCAATAACTTCGACATAAAAAAGGATGATTGATACAAGGACACCAAATGGTTGAAAAGAGATTTGTAAGAATAAGTTATAGGGGGATATACGGTTTAAACATGACTATCCTAAATACCTTGGTGGATGTTAACCCCTTGCATCCAAGGAGGGAAAAGATTGTCCGTCTCTCTGTCAAAAAGAGGCCTACACAAATGACAATCGAAGGATTTGCTCCCTTCTGTCGGAGGAAGGACAACCACTATGGGAACATTCTTTTCTTGTAGAATTCAAGCACAAATGAGAAAACCAAGATTGAAGGAAGTTTTGCCTATCCATTGGTTCTTCCACAATGGAGTTTAATCGCTATCTTGAGATGAATATTCTATGGAACTGAGAAAACTTGGAGAGGATTACACTGCCTGGTTTCTAGGTGTTACTAGAGACATAACAATTGTGTCCCAACCATTGGCACGGGGCCATATTTTGTAACAAGAATGTGATGTGGGATTATATGGGGTGCTAAGGAAAAATGCCATAACCATTTGGATAAAAGTGCAGGGGTCTTACTAACGAAGCTCCCAATCCACAAATATCCCTCGGCACACACGTATTTTCAATTTAATAAATGCTATCCTTCCCCATTAAGCCTCAGCCACATCTTCCCATAAGAAATATTTCATAGCTTTTTTCTACAATGTCTCCTTGCAGACATCAAAACTTCAAAAAAACATGGAAAAAAAGAAAACAATTAAGAGGAACTTCTCTCGCCACATTTGATAAAAGTAAGCATGCCATCTTTAGAGAAATAAGCTTTATTCCAAGCAGTCAACCTCTTCTGAACATTTTAACCACATGATCTCAAAAAGGTGTTATAGGGTTGAAAATTAGGGGAAGATCAAGATAGGTGAAATGTAGTGAAACACACAAGAGTCACCCAACTCACCCACTAGCTTATCTTAAGAGGTTTGGAATTTGTCCCAACTAGGGTACATTCTCTGTTGATTTTTAAACTAGACACAAACTCAAGAACACTGAGGATTTGATTAATGTTATTGAAAGAATCCTCCACCTCATTCAAAATGGAGTAGTATCATCCGAAATTTGAAGGTTGGGTAAGGTGCATATTGTTCCTAGCACCTAAGACATTCTACTTAACCTCTCTTGATGTGCCTAGATAACAATCTGCTTAAAACATCAACCAAGAGTTATTGGTTTCCTTACTCGTACAGCAACATACCCAAATATGTTTTTGTTGAACAACTCTAAACATGTATGAGAAAAGTTTTTCTTCCTAAAACTCCACTATTCTACTGTTATCATGGTGTGAAGTCATGGAAAAGTATACATACTTATGTAGTTTGCAGATTTTCATTTTTAAGATAATGTCTATCCTTATGTAGTATGCCAACGACCCTTATGACAGTGGCAGCATGGGGATGTTATTATGATGTTGATAACTTGGCCAAGGATCCTTAGATCTGGGCTGGTTTTACAAGCCCCAAAATAAATAATCAGATTAAGAATAGTTGTGTCAAAATTTAGGCTTTACTTCTTCAGTTTTGGCAGATGAAACTGAAACCATGGTACCGCATGCACTACTGTTTCCAAAATGTTAGTAATTTGGTCTTCTCAATTGCAAATTTTCTATAGATTCACCATGACATTTTAAATAGTGGCAAAAAAGGCCTACATCAAGTATCTTTTGTGGTGCTTCTGTTTGATCTCATGACTGCATGTTTTAATCACTATTAGGGATGCTGAAGATCATATTGCTTGGCTTCTTGAACACGGCTGGCATGAAAAAGCTCTGGAAGCAGTTGAAGCAGGTCAAGGAAGAAGTGAACTCCTAGACGAGGTACTCTCCTCCTCGCTCATAGCTCCATTAATTTGAACTGACACTTTATATTTAGACACATGAATATATATCATTAGTTTGTATATTTTGAAGACATTTTGAGCTCTCTCTATCATATAAAATCTGCATTAGCGTTTGAAAATTTTCATACTTGACTTAGTTTCTGTTGGATGCTTGCTTCAGCTCTTTCTAACATATGGGCTAGGCCCCAATGGGCATGTATTCTATAAATCTCCTTTAGCCAGTTTTAAAAATTTGTCTTTGCTGAATTCTTTTCCTTCTCTCTCCGTTTTTTTTCCATATATAATTCCTCCTTAAACTAAAGGAAAAACACTGAGGAAATTTTATTAATCAAATATAAACTAATTACAACTTATAGGCTGCCAGACTTTCTGATTACAAAATTATCCTACTAATATAGTGGTAGACTTCTGTGAAATTTTGCCCATATTCCTCTTTAGATTGGCTCAAAACATCTAGTTCATCGAGAGACAGAACAATTTGCTTGCCGAACGTAATTTCCCTGGGGTTTCAATCTTCCTTGAAGCCTTAAATCATCCCCACAGAACTATATCTCTGTTATTTTCTTGGAAGCATTATCCAATTGCAGTCAGCCAAGATGGATCTTTCAGGGATTTCTTGAGGCCATAGGGTGTTGGAGGAAGTGTGGGGAACTATTACTTCTTTAGCCTATATTTGAAGTGCTAATTCTAAGGCTTTTTGTAATTACTATTTACTCCCTTTCTATCTTCTCATTGGAGTGTTTTCATGTGATTTGCTCCAAGCTTGTATATTTTATCTCTGCCATGAAATTTCTTTCTTATACAAAAATAAGCCATAAATGTTTAGGTTTAATTGCTTGATTATTCTGGGGATTTGTAATCCCTTTAGTTTTCTTGAAGGCATGGAGCAATAATGTTTCATAGTCACTTTTGTATGAAGTTAATTGAGTACGATAATATGATTATAATGTATTTTGTTTACTCATTATTTTTTGTTCATTTTGTGTTTAGGTTGGATCTAGATATCTTGATCACTTGATTGTGGAAAGAAAATATGCTGAAGCTGCTTCTCTGTGTCCCAAATTGTTGCGAGGCTCTGCTTCTGCTTGGGAGAGGTATTTAGTCGATTACCTTGTATACCATTCTTTATGCACAAGCATAACTGCAGAAACCTGATTTTTACAGATGGGTTTTCCACTTTGCTCATCTGCGTCAACTTCCTGTGTTGGTTCCATATATTCCGACAGAAAATCCTAGATTGCGTGATACTGCTTATGAGGTTTGGGAGAAAGCTTTTTCAGTTTTTCCAATATTTATTTCTCTTTTCAAGAAATATTTATTTGTTACCAACTTGAAAATTTGAAATTTTTTTCTTTGTTTATTGCAGGTGGCTCTTGTTGCTCTTGTTTCAAATCCATCATTTCATAAGGATCTATTAGCGACTGTTAAGTCTTGGCCACCTGTGATTTATTCTGCTTTGCCTGTTATCTCAGCCATAGAACCTCAGTGCAATACTTCTTCGATGACTGATGCTCTTAAAGAGGTAAGTATTTATTTTTGTTTTTTTCTTAATCGCCTATAGTGTGTTTTGCAGTAACCACGTGTCTTTCCTGCATCAGGCATTAGCTGAGTTGTATGTTATAGATGGGCAGTATGAGAAAGCTTTTCTGCTGTATGCTGATGTAAGTGTTTTGATTTTTTCTCTCTCCAGTCTGCCCACATTAGTTAACTCGATCTAAACTACTATTGTTTCCATTTTCAATATATATTTACTTATCTTGCCCTTATTTGCAGCTTCTGAAGCCAGATATATTTGACTTTATTGAGAAATACAATCTGCATGAGACCATTCGTGAAAAGGTATGACAATCCAAGAGTCAGTGACCCTATAGTTATCTTGTTTCTTTATTTAAATAGTAAAATTAAGTTTGTGTGGTAATATTTAATAATGTTTTAAAATGCCTCTTTAGCAGTTACACAGGTAGAATCTCCTAACAAAAAGAATTGGAATTGTAGTTCTTCCTGATAACGTTGTCGCATTTCTTATCATTTTTAACCTCTCAATTAGACTCATCAATTTTTACATCAGATGCAAGCAATGGAACTCTAAGGAACTCTAGGGGTATGGTTTTTTTTTTTAACTTTTTTGTATTTATTTTATTAAAAAATGATTTGTAGGAAGGATTTAAAAATTATTTTCACTTTTCACTTGAAAATCTGTTGAGAGTTCTTTTTTTATTTTTATCATTATTATTTTTTAATTAATTAATTATTATTATTATTATTATTATTTTTTTAAATATATTTTTTTTATATGAAACAAATATTTCATTGATGGTATGAAATATACAAAAGGCCACATGGGCAATTACAAGAAAGTTTCCAACTTGTAATAAGATCATTTAGAGAATAGCTACTAAAGGGGGTGTAGAAACATTTACACCATCCGAGAGCTAAGGTAATAACCCTATCAAAAAAATAAAGCAAAAGGGAGAGTCTTGTCATTAAAAACCCTATTGTTCTTTTCCAACCAAAGACTCCAAAAGAAGGCCCGAGCAAACTGTATCCATAGAGTCAGTTTCCTTCTCTTAAAAGGGTGTCCCGCCAATATTTGGTCAAGAAAGATAGCTGGATTTGTGTGTAGGGGAGTTTCCCATCCAAAAGTTGCGAGTAGATGGCTCCAATATCGATATGCGAAATCACATTGAGTGAATAAATGACCGTGTGTTTCTGTAGCTTTAAAACAGAGAAGGCAGTAGTTTGGGGATAAAGCGATGTGGGGGAGTTTTTTCTGTAGTCTGTCATAGGTGTTAATCGCCATGACTAAGTTCCCAACAGAAGAACCTAACTTTCTTGGGGCATCTCCCTTGCCAAATTTTAGGGAAGAGGGTGGAGGCAGTGAGATCTTTGTTAGTGGTGAGAATGCGATAGGCAGATTTTAAGATCTGGTGGTTTCCAAAGGCCATGTCCATTGGTCATCAAGAGAGGTCGGGGTGGTTGTATCTAGTATATGGGAGAGTGTCAGCCAATCAGAGAGCTCATCATCTTTAAGTGGTCTGCGAAAGTTGTAATCCCAGGAGGCTGTAGAGTGAGACCAAAGTTTGGAAATAGTGGCTTCTTTGTCGGTCGAAATAGCATAGAGATTGGGATAGAGGCTGTCCAGAGTGCCTTGAGAGAGCCATTTATCGTGCCAGAAACTGAGGGCGTTCTTTCACCCACTTTGCATATAGCATATGTCCTGACAGTGCTGATTTGCTTAGAAATTCCATTCCATGGCCCCTTAAAACAATTTCTACGATTGGATGGCTAGATATCCGAGAGTGAGCCATTGTATTCGGCCGCAATGAGTCTCCTCCATTGGTGGTTTGGCTCCGAAAGGAATCTCCAAATCCTTTTTTTTTTTTTGAAATATAGATTGACAATTTTTTCTTTCTCAAATTCTCTTAAACATGAACTTAAGTTTATTTTTTTTCCAGACCACCTACTTAAGTTTATTCAGTTAAACTCAAGGAAAAACTTCTAGGTAGTGAAGACATGTTTGGGAAACTAGGGAGCCGAGAAACTTGGGAGCTTTCATTAACTATTACAAGATTCTTGTATCCTTAGACAATGTGATAACAGTTTGTTGCAATATGTTAATTTTGAGTTGGCACATGAGTGGCCTTGATTTTATTTTTTATTTTTTTAAATTCTTTTTGGAGACTGGTACAACCACGGAGGAAAAAATAGTTTAGGAAACCCTAGCTCTGATATGTTTCAGGAAACGAAGATTGGATGAAGTGGGTGGAGGTATCATTGAAAACCTTTGGGGTCCAAGATATATTGGCTGGGCAAAGCTTGTATGATCTAGGGTCTTTGGAAGTACTTTTTATTTTGTGGAATGAAAATGTTACTCACTTAGAGGGGGGTGACAAGTGTCTTTTCTTGCGTTCACTGAAGGTCATGTTTTACATTGAGTGGTGGCTAACAGTGGTCTATGGGGATTTATCAGGCATCTTTTAGAGGAACTAGGAAATTTATCAGGCTTATGCAGTTCTTTGTGGTCTATGGGGATGTGGTCTTAATGTTACTAGATCAGATAAGTCTACTGTGGGAGAGGGAACTAACAGCATGGTTGATTTTTTTGTGTCCATTTGAGGATTCCCACCTGCATGACGTTCCACTTGGGGATGAAAGGTATTGTGGCTTACCTTAAGGTGAAACATCACTAATATGTGAATTTATTGCCTTATAAGGGAGATACACAGCTTCTGTGCATTTCCTGTTCGGTAGTTGATGGGATAGCCCAATTCAACTAATTCCCATTATCGTAGTACTTAGAGGAAGTATTATCATCGTAATTCGTAACCCTTAGATTAAATAACCTACAAAGGCATAAAGTAAATAATATTATCCCAAAGCTAATGCAATGAGCTCTCTTCATTGATGAAAATGTGTTTGTTACATTCCAACTAGAGGACTTGCAAGAAGGCCGAGCAAGAAAGGGTCGGTTTGATGTTGGAGGGGGTTCTTCGCGACCCTCCGTTTCGTGACAAGGGTCAGTTTTTGTGGCAAGCCAGTTTCTGCAGTTCTTTGGAGTTTGTGGATGGAGAGGAGTAACATGATTTTTAGAGGGATTGAGATATCATGGGAGGATATTTGGGCTCTTGTTTGGTTTCATGTTTCTTTTTGGGCTTCAGTGTCCACATCCTTTTGTAGTTTTTCTTTAGGCTTGATCTTGCTCGATTTGAGAATTTTATTTTAGTTTGGTTCCCTTTTGTTGGGCTGTGTTTTTGTACACCCTTTTGTATTATTTCATTCTTATTTTCTGAAGAAAAAAAGAGGGGGGGATGATAGTGAGGGATTTGACCGAGGAACACTTGTCCTTATCTGAAGCCTTATTAATGGGAAATGATATAAAATCACTCTACCCGATCTTCAGGCACCTGGAGTCCTGGAATTTTGAGCTCAATTTAAAAAATGAGGATTCTGTCAATGAAAGACAACACCACCCTCTCCCTCATATCTGACCTGGTATTGCTCCCATGGACCAAAGGGACATCCAAGAGGGATAATTCATCACTTGGCTCTGGAATTTGTTTGGTTTCAAAGCTCTAAAGCTAGCAGTTTTTCGGAGTTCTGGTTCAGAATGCTTTTTATCTTTTTCGAGCTTGTATTGTTCTTGTTGCGCTAATTCTTCATTATTTTTCTCTTCTTCTCTCTCTTTTTTATCCCATTGGGGTTTGATCAACATTTTTCCTTTTCATATTTCATTGAAAAGTTGTTTCTTGTTAAAAAAAAAAAATTCAGGAAAGATTTCTTGCAATCTCCTTTGGCCAGTTGTAGGTTTGGGATGACTAGTATATGTACAAGAATTAAAGCTTCAAAAAAAATAGAGATACACTTTAAATATGTTCCTCTATTGAGCTTGGGCAAATAGGCCTTTTCATTCTCATTAAGAAAAATGACAACATGTTTTGTGTGTTTCATTAGGTTTTTTTATTTCTAAATTTGAAAACAATTTTACAGTTCCTGTTGCCTGGTAAATTATTCGGTTTATTTTCATGTTCAAATGTATGATGACCTTTCTTATTTTAACCATTCATTTGAACATTTCTTATTTTACGCATCTTTTTGTAGGTTGTCCAACTCATGATGCTAGATTGCAAGCGTGCCGTTCCATTATTTATCCAAAACAAGGAATTAATTCCTCCAAATGAAGTTATTTCACAGCTTCTTAAAGCCAGAGATACGTGTGATTTCAGATATTTCATGCATCTATATCTGCATTCCTTATTTGAAGCAAATCCACATGCTGGGAAGGATTTCCATGATATTCAGGTACAAACTATTGAAAACTAAGTTAATCCTTTGGTGAGTATGTTGTCATGTTTTTGAAATGCAAGACACATACAAAGATTTAATAATAAAAACAACAGGTACACAGGAAAATGAGAATGAATTTTTTTCTCTCTGTATTTCTCATTAGCACATTCTGATATATATAAACATTAGAAACTGGAGTGAGGAAGTTACCAGAAAGTGGAGTGGACGTTTCTCATTCTCACAGTTACAACACTTACAGTTACCCCTTGGCCCTTAAGTTACACCAATTAGATGACTATAGTAATATCCCCCCCAAACAAGAGGGTGACGTAATCACGTTGAGTTTGTCCTTTGACAAGCCGAATTTACTTGTAGATGGAGGTTTAATGAGGCCTTCCGCCAGCTGCTCATGAGAGGGTACATACAATTTCAAGTTGCTTGCCAACAAAATGCACGTTCAAGACATGTTTGCTGCAAGAATGAAACGCCAGATTTGCAGCAAGAGAGAGTGCACTAATGTTATCACACCAAATAATAGGTGTATTATATTGAGGACAACCAATTTCACAAAGGAGAGACTGCAACCAACTTATTTAAGCTGCTGTATGGGCCAAGGATCTATTGTTCAAGGATACAAACTCTCGAAAGAGCGAGAAAATCATAAAAAAAAAGAGTAGAAAATACAATATATTAACAAAGGAGAAATAAAGGCTTCCCAATTATTAAGAACAAGACTGGGAGAATAATGCAAAAAAGAATCGGAAAGAGAGCACCAACGTGAATTTAGCAGAAGAGAAACACTCGAGCAATGATCTATTCTTGCCCTCAAACATCCTTGAATTACTTTCAAACCTTAACTCCGAGAGCAATGCTTTTACAGCATCGATCTATAGGAAACGATCTGCGGAAGAAGAATGAATAAGCCTGCAAAATAGTTGAAACAAATTGTCTTCAGCCTTGTCAAAAACCCAACCAACATTGAAAAGACTTAGAATAAGAGTCCAGCCCTTAGCAGCAAAGGTACAGTGAAAAAATAGATGCAAAGGTACAATGAATAAATAGATGACTGAGGTCTTCCCCACTAATCCTACAAAGAAGAAGAACACAAAAAGGTGGAAGGAGGGTTGCTGAAGGAAGCTTCTTCTGAATGGCTTCTGCTGTATTAAGTTTGCCTTGAAGGAGAATCCAAGAGAACACATTTACTTTTCTTGGGTTCTTTGATTTCCAGAGTGCAGTAAACAAATCTTTATGCATAGGAGATGAAGATTTCAACCTGCTCATTGAAGCAACAGAGAATAAACCAGCAGGCTCAAGTGACCAATAACGTTGATCATCTTCATTAGATAAGGAAACCAGTGTGAACAACTGTCAAAAGGCAGAAAACTCATCTAACTCATCATCTTTGAACTTCTATTAAACACCCAAATCAAATTAAAAGTTCAGAAAATATACTCCCAAACCTTACTACTTTAGACACAGTGGAAGAATAAATGAGTTTTTCTTCATCTACCAGCAAAACAAGTCTATAGAGAGAATATGAATAAATAATTAAATTTACCTTAACCCATCAGATTTAGCTTTTGGATTCAGTGGTGACTTAACACGATATTGGATTCAGTGATGATTTAACATGGTATTAGATTTAGAACAAGGATGTCTTGTGTTTGAAACCTCTATAATGTCATTTTCTCCCAATGTAATATTGATCATCACTTGTTTGGCTTTGGTCTTCTGCAAATTGTCAAGCCCACAAGGGATAGTGTTAAAATATGAATGAATAATTAAATTTATCTTAACTCCTTATCTTAGGCTTTTGGATTTAGTGGTGATTTAATTACTATGCAAGTAGTCAACACCGATGCAAGGCATTTTAGTCGAATTGTGGCCACTGTGTTAAGTTTACCTAAATGAGCCGACCAAGAATAATTATTTAGGACTCTTGGTCTTCCAGCTAGCCTTTAACCAATATTTGTTGATTCTAACATGATGAAACTTTAAGGACTTGTCCTATCACAGATATTTGTGGTATCTCAACTCGTTGATGTTGTAATGGTGGCTAGCTCGAGCTCGAGCCACGAAACCGATCAACTTTGTGATTGGACAAGTCCTTAAAGTTTCATCATTTTGATGCCATTTTGATTGACGCCATTTTGATTGCTTCAGAGACTGTAAGTACTTGGAAAAGGGAGAATAAGAAAGGTTTCCTGTTGAAGCTTGATTTCGAAAAAGCTTATGATAAAGTAGATTGGGACTTCCTCTTAGCTGCCCTCAAGGCTAAAGGCTTCGGTATGAAATGGTGCAGTTGGATTCATGGCTGTTTGACAATACAAATTTTTCTGTGATGATAAATGGAAGACCTAAAGGTAAAATTTGGGCTAAAAGAGGTCTTAGGCAAGGCCGCAAGGGGGATCCCCTCTCCCCTTTTCTCTTTACCATAGTAGGAGATGTCTTGAGTAGGTTGATTCATTTCAGTTTTGAAAGGAAAATCGTTAGAGGCTTAACTACAGGATCCCCTGAGATTGAGATTACTCACCTCCAATATGCAGATGATGTTCTTGTTTTTTACCCTTTTTCTGCTCAGATGTTGGAAAATTGGTGGGGGCTGATCCATTTCTTTTTACTCATTTCGGGCCTCTCCCTTAATGTTACTAAATCAGCTGTGATTGGAGTTGACTGCAGCACCACAGAGGTGAATTTCTGGGCATTAACTTTTGGGTGTAAAGCAGAGACTTTTCCCTTCACCTATCTGGGCTTTCCGCTGGGAGGTAATCACAAATCAGAGAGTTTTTGGGCTCCTGTGGTAGATAAGATGCATAAACGTCTTCAAAAGTGGAGATTCCTAATGCTCTCTAAAGGGGGTCGTCTTACTTTGGCTCAATCCTTGCTCAACAACATTCCTATTTATTTCTTTTCCATCCTAAAAGCCCCGAGATCTGTGACCACAACAATGGAAAAGTTAATGAGGGACTTTATTTGGAATGGGGGAGAGCATAGGCCGATAATGAACCTGGTCAAATGGACTTGGATAGCTTTACCTCATCAACAAGGTGGTCTTGGAGTGGGCTCGCTTACTCTTCAAAGCCCTCCTTATGAAATGGTTATGGCATTTTGCCACAGAAGAATAGCTTATTGAGGAGGGTTATTCTTGCTGTTTATGGGGAGGATACTTTTGGTTGGTTTTCGACCGTTTCTAGTGGATCATCGAAAGGCAGACCGTGGATAGACATCCAAGGTACAGGCACGGCTTTCTCCAACCTTATTTTTTATAAAGTCTCTTCGGGAAATAGAGTGAGATTCTGGGAAGACATATGGATTGATTCATCTCCTCTTTCAACTATCTTTCCCTAGTTCTACGGCCTTTCCAACAAGAAAGGTTCGGCCATAGGGGATTGCTGGATCACAGAGGAAGGGACATGGGATCTGGCAAGAGAGATAAATAGATGGGCAGCCTTAACATCCAAGCTGGATGGTGTGTTTCTTGGTCAAGGCAATGACAGAATTGTGTGGAAAGCAGACTCCAGAGGCACGTTTGCAGCAAATTCTGCTTTCTTGGCTCTCACTACTCCTTCCCCAAAGCTTAACTCGGCCACAGCAGCATTCATTTGGAATTTTGAAGTTCCAAAGAAGGTGAAGGTTTTCCTATGGACATTGTTCTATAGAGGTATGAAAACAGTAGATAGAATTCAAAAGAAACTCCCCCACTTGGTGCTCTCCCCGGCAATCTGCAGTTTATGTTTGAGGAACCCAGAGAACGTGGACCATCTCTTTATGCACTGTACCTTCGCGTCCACAGCTTGGAATAATGTGGCTTCTCTATTAGACTTATCCTTTTGTTTCCCTCAGCATATCGAAGATTTCATTTCTGAAGGTTTTTGTGGAATTGTGCCGCTAGGGTGGTCCTTTGGCTTCTTTGGAAAGAAAGGAATAGTCGGATTTTTGACGACGAAATGGTCTTGATAGATTCTTTTTTTTGTGAATATCAAGCATACGGCTTCTTGGTGGGCTTCTACACACAAAAAGGCTTTTTGTAACTACAATCTTTTTTTTATTATGCAAGATTGGAAAGCTGTGATTGTATAGTCC